ACTTCTGCTGTCAGAAAAATGATCCAAGTTTTAGTGTGAGCCTGACTGGAGAAAAGGATTTAATAGAGGAGAGAAATATGTCTGGTATATTTTCCTCCTTAAGCATTTACAGATTTTGAGTCCCAGTTGAACATTGCATTGGTTATTACAAATAGGTATCAAACTGAAACTACATGGAGAGATGAAATCCTATTAGAAGATGTGATTAGATGTGATGAATATTTCCATTATGTGTCTACTACTGCTAATTCTTGAGTGGATAGTTTTTGGTCCTTTCCTGCCACATGGCTAGAGGTGTGGAATTGAGGAATATTTTCTTAGTCAGAAGACTTTACAGTGGTGCCTTCACATCATATTTTTATATTCATGTTTATATAAACTGTTGTGGATTTTTAAAACTAGAAATGGGTTTGTGCTGCATGTTGTTACTGATTCCCAATTTTATGTGGGGAACAAATCATGATAGTTATATATAAATATATGTAGTAAATGTATTTTTCAGATTTGTCTGTCAATAGTTTCACCTTTTTAAATGTTGTGCTTGCCAAAGGAAGCTATGTGGTGTATGTTTTATAGAGATAAATAAATACTGCAGACAAGTGGGTTTTGTTTTCTCATTCTAAAAAGATGTTTTGTGGTTTGAATTTGATAATGGAAAAACTGTTTCTGTTGCCTACCTTCTCAAAGTTGGCTGATATATTGGCAGTGTAAAATAGGAGAAGGAGGAAACTTATTTTTCTATCATTATGAAAAGTTACAATGTATGTTTTGGGGGAGGCTTATGATTTGAAGCTGTTTTACAGGAGCTGATTTTTATTGCACTTCTGTTCCTGTTTGAATTACAAGGCTGTATTTTTAAACTATATCTTCTTACAATGGAGACCAATTCACAATTACCTACAGATTACCAGATTTCTGATGTTTTTTATTTATCTTTATTACTTCTGGCAATATCTGTAGTTGTTGAATGTGAATACAGGTTGAGTATCCCTTATCCAAAATGCTTGAGACCAGAAGCATTTTGTATTTCTAATGTTTTTAGATTTTGCAATATCTATTTCTAACGGCACTCCATGCAGCTGCATTACATTGGAGGCATCTATGAACAGCTCTTTGGCTTAGAAATGGAGATGACCACCACCCCGCAGAGTCAGACACAACTAGACTTAATGTCAGGGAAAACTTTACCTTTACCTTTACCTTTATTTCTACATATACATTCAGAATGAGATATCTTGGAAGAAAGGCCAATTACTGACCACTTTGCTAATATACTGTCATATCTCAGTGCAATATATTAACCTTTATGGTTTATTAAAAATTCAGTATTAGAAATCAGTTTTTCAAAATATTTGACTTATTGCATGAACACAGCATTGTTTCTGCCTAAAGAAACACCTCCTGCTCCAAGCTGGATCATTGGTAGCAGTTTTGATACCCTCCCTTTGAGAAGAGAACATACAGGGTTGTTGTCCAGGGAAGGGGAAATGTGGGCCTTCTTTCTCCCTCACTTTTCACATCTTTTGGCCCACTTCTGGTATAGTTCCATTTTATTGGTTGCTTAGGGGGTTGGTAGGAAATTTTACCCCTTTTAAACTTTGTTTTATTTACCCTTGAGTGTAGACAGTGACTTTGACAATTTGCATATGGTGGTGCCATAAATAGGTGTCGTTTGACAAGTAATAGTAGAGATAAATTTAGTTATGCTCAGCACCTATAGGCACCCATTTGGTTTCTGAAACCATCTCTAAGTTTCATGGGACAGAAAAGAAGACAAACCTTGGGGTTGGCCTTAGTGGTTGTGAGAACTAGTCCAAGGCTGGAGCCTTGGGCTGGCCTTCCAACGTATAACAGGCTGCAGAGAAACCCACTGATTGTATTTATCCTTGAGGCTAAGGTGTTATTGCCCAGAGCAAACAGGAGAAGTAATTCGGGAAAGACACCTACTGGCCCCATGTTAGGTCTCTCCCCTTTTCACAGATCTCCAAGAAGTTATACACTTAATTTTAAATAGAATTGTCCTTTTTTCATCTAATATGCACATGTGTAGTCTTATTATTTCAGGGGTATAACATCAAACAATTTTGTTCTTCTTGCTTACTTAAAAAAATAAACTTACATAATTGGTTTCACTCTAGGCTGAATGTGTCACACTGAGTAACTAGACACTCAAATGTACTGATACCATTTGTTCAGTGGTGCAATTTCAAAAAGACACTCCATGGTTCATTGGTAACTGTCTTTTAAAATGTTTTAGTACAGAGCAGTCACTACTTTCAGAAGGAACAGATGAACCAACCAAAGTTAAGAACTCTTTCAGGATACATTTCAACTATTTAAATCAATGGACTTCAAAGTGCTTAATTTGGTTGGCTTGTGCCAAAAGAAAATATCTTGCTGTGCACATATTGTACAAATTTGCAGTCTTGCATGTAGAGGCTCATGGAATTGTGTTCAATTATCCACTTACTTGGCAAGGAGTGCTGCCTTGTGCAATTAAAGACACTGGAGACCTGCAGTGTGATTTACAAATCGACTCTCTTCTACTGAAAGAAACTATCTTTCAAACAAGAACACTACATAGGTCTCTGATTATTGCCAACTCCATAAACATATTCATGCCAGTTTTTTTTAATCGTGTCAAAAGCGACTTGAGAAACTGCCAGATGCAACCACACCTTAGAACCAAAGGCCATGCTGAAACCTTACCACGGGAACTATTCCATTCTTAGCTTTCAGATTATAGTGCCAGGGCAATTATGAAACCTCCCAACCAGATGAAAAACATTGCCAGAGTATCATGATTATATCTGCCAGCTTTTAAAACTGGCCCCTGTAGCTGGACCTTTAACAATTATTTGCTTTTCAGCAATTAGAAGGTAATAGTGTTCATCTCTACACCATTAGAGTGCTACATTCTGCATATCAACTTGCTGTATTAAACACACAAGAGCAAGTCATTATTTTTGTGTGATAATTTGGCAACAGTTTATGGCTTGTGTGGTATGCAGCTAAAAATAAGCCTGGGGTTTGTCAGTGCTTGTGTATTTTCTCATTGGCTTACATCAGCATTGGTAAATATCTGTGAATTGTGCCTATGGTTTCTTATCCATTAAAATTCTGCCAAATGCATTCCTACATGCAAATAGATTTTTTTCAAGGAAGTGGGAACTATTATACTGAACAATAATTGGCAGAATTATTAAAAAAATAAATGGCCAAACATGCCCACAGAACAAATGTTAAAGATGATCAGTAGTTGCTTGTTACCTTTCAGGTCAAGATAGGGTGAATGAATTGATCTGCAGTCTAATTGTATTCTTTTATCCTCAATTTTTAAACTACTGGTATATGGGGAAAATGAGACATATAGGCATTCTTAGTGGGGTGTTTGCAAATTTAAAGTCTTATACTCAGCAGCAGATACCACTGGAGATACTGAATAGCTTGTTTGTTTGTTTGTTTTGTCTAATTCCCATCTGATCTCACAGTGCTCTACCCAAGAATTTGGGAGACAGAAGAAAGTATATACTACGCTTTTCTTATTTCAGCAGTAGAGGCAAACCCATGTACAAGGAGGGGAGGGAGGGAGTGGGAAAAACAAATAAAACAATTTTAAAAAGCAGTAGAGGCAAACCCATTTAAATAAAAGATCAAAATAAACTTTAAAGATGCTAAAATTGAAATTAATGGCTAAACAGGACAGAGCAACTCAATGAAAATATGACATAGCTTTGCATGTTTTTATATAAATATGATTGCATTAAAAAACATAAAAATGAAGCACAATATAAAATACAATAAAATAAAGCACATTCACATATAAAAACATCAACTCATTCTCAATAAAATTGACGTCACCAACCAGTGGTGATAAGCCAAGCTGTAAACAACAGGAATGCAATAAGGTCAAGGTGCAACAATGGAGACAGGGTATAGGATAAAGTGCAAGGATGTGCGACCTCTGCACAGGACAACTAGAGACTAAGCATTCTTTAAAAGCTTGTTTGAAAAGCCATGCCTTCAAATCCCTATGGAAGGAGGACAGTGTGGGAGCCTGCCTAATCTCCTGGGGAGGGCATTCCAGAGCTGAAGGGCTACCACTAGGAAGGCCCTCTCCCTCATCTCCACCAACTGTGCTTGTGATGGTGGCAGGACTGAGAGGAGAGCCTCCCTGGCAGATTTTAAAGCCTGTGCCAGTTCATGGGGGGGGGGGATGTCATGACAAAGATAAACAGGACCTGAACCATTTAGGGAAGTAACCAAAACTCCACAGGGTAAGAGATCTTCTGTAGCTCTTGTGTAGCTAGCTAGCAGAAATTGTTCTGTTGGTCAAAGGCAATGGCTTAAATTGATGTGAGCCTGTTCTTAGTGTAAGCCAAATGATTTCCCAGCCCTTCTGAGCAGATTTTAGGTGTATGGTGGGGCTGCAGAATGAGCAGGTATGCTTTGTTTCCGTTGGCAGAAGAAGTTTCTATCAACTGAAATATATTAGAGGACACTATAAAAGACATAAGACCAAGTCATAAAATGTGTATAAAAATTACTATTGATTTTGGTGATAAAGCCTTATTTGAATTCTAAGGCAGCATTTCCAAGTTCATTTGAAATTAAAACTAATTCAGTTTTTATTTCTAATCCAGCTCCTATAACATTAAGAAAAATGAATATTTCTCTTTATAAAGCTTTTGGACATATTTACTAGCTGAATTTTTAAAATTATAATTATTAAAGGATTACCCTAACTTTACTAGGGTTATTTAATTTTAACATATAATTATTTAATAATTAATCATGTGAATAATTAGTTCAATAGAGCTGCAAAATGATTATTATTGTCAGTGCAAGTATCAAAGATAGATTTGTGATGTGAGCTAAAGCATCACCAAAAAGAACACATAATGTTAAATTATAGAAAGTGGAATTGCTGCTTCAGTTGTTGTTACAGCTATTATTATTATTATTATTATTATTATTATTATTATTTATCATCCTTTCAGGAACCAGTATTTGTGCCAAGAACAATGGTGGATGTCAACAACTTTGTCTCTATCGGGGAAATATGCAGAAAACATGTGTTTGTGCACATGGCTATTTAGCAGAGGATGGAGCTTCGTGCTTGAGACATGATGGCTACTTGCTTTATTCAGGAAGAACAATACTAAAAACTATACATATATCTGATGAAACAAACTTAAATTCACCAGTGCAGCCTTATGAAAATCCAGAGTATTTAAAAAATGTAATAGCACTGGCTTTTGATTACAACCAGAAAGGAGGTGGCACTAACAGAATTTTCTTCAGTGATGCACATTTTGGAAATATACAACTTATTAAAGATGATTGGACTGGCAGAAAAGTTATCGTGGAAAGTAAGTAAACTCTTTTTTCAAAAATCCACTTTTTAAAAAAGCAATAAATCATGAATTGAAATATTGTCATTTTTGGTTTTTGGTTTTTTTTTTCTTTTTCATTTAGACAGGGGGAACTTCTGAAGCTTCCCTCTCCCTCTGTTGTTGACTGTTGGTGTGATATTTATAATTTTTTTTCACTGATTAAACAAACAACAACTATAAAACTTGCCCCAGACATGCGGAAATAATAACGAAACGATTTCAAAACGATAACGAAACGAATACAAAAACGAATCCGAAGCAATTACGAAACGAATTTAAAAATTCGTTTCGTTTTTTAGTTGCTCCTGAATGGTTCGTTATAGCTTCGTTATAAAAAAAAATAACTAATTTTTAACTAATTACGAAATTACGAAACAAAACCGCCCAGCCCTATAAAATATTTTAAAATATTACAAATATTGAATAAACACAAAACAGACAGCTCAGGAATAGCAATGGGGAGCAGGGAGAGGAGAAGAATCCTGCCCCCTTACATCACTTCATTGCTGGCATGTTTACACAAGGAGCAGAATCAGGTAGGTGACAGGAACATTCTAGGTTTGTCAGCTCTTGGTGTTTTTTTTTTCCTGTCAACAGTAGGGAATGAGTTTAACGTGAGGAGACAGACTGGAAGCAAGATGTGCATACCACCATTGCTGCTGGTTTGCCTGCCTTGTTCTGAGATTCAACCCATCAATCTGTGATGAGGAAAAATGAATAGTCTCCTTGGGTGATTATTATAAGATTATGATAAAAAATTATGGGAAATATTTTCATAATTCTGAAAATTATGCCATGTATGATGACAATTACTTTCATGTCTGGTTTCAGGTGAAAAAATATGAGCTTGGATTTGTTGTTTCACTAATTACAAATATGATTATATTCCATTCAAACTATTACATTGTATCTGATCAAAATATCCATTATTTCAGTCCTTATTTATTTATTTATTTATTTACTTTATTTGTATACCGCTCTTCTCAGCCCTTAGGCTACTCAGAGCGGTTTACAACAGTTTAGATTTACAGGATACAAAATCATTATGCATTTAAAAACAAAAGCATCACAAGTCATTAACATCATTAACATCATTAACATCAGCATCAGAAACATCAATACACCAATATAACAAATCCATCTGGTCTAGTCAGTGAAATCAGAATCCAAAACTCGTTATCCATTATTCCGTATTCCAATAATCAGTCAATCAATTACACTGCTTAGTCGAATGCCTGTTCAAACATCCAGGTCTTTACTTTCCTCCGGAATGCCAGCAAGGAGGGGGCCAATCTAATATCTGCAGGAAGGGCGTTCCACAGCCGAGGGGCCACCACTGAGAAGTGTGGTGTCTCTCGTCCCTGCCAGGCGTGCTTGTGAAGCCGGCGGGATCGAGAGCAGGGCCTCCCCAGACTATCTTAATGCCCTAACTGGTTCATAGGAGGAGATGCGTTTGGACAGGTAGGTCGGGCCAGAAACGTTTAGGGCTTTAAAGGCTAAAGCCAGCACTTTGAATTGTGCCCGGTAGCAAATTGGCAGCCAGTGGAGCTGGCGCAGCAGAGGAGTGGTATGCTCCCTGAGTGCCGCTCCTGTTAGCATCCTGGCTGCCGATCGTTGGACCATTTGAAGCTTCCGAGCAGTCTTCAGAGGCAACCCCACGTAGAGAGCATTGCAGTAGTCTAAACGGGATGTGACTAGAGCATGGACTACCAAGTCAGGCTTCCCAAGGTACGGGCGCAGCTGGCGCACTAGTTTTAACTGTGCGAATGCTCCCCTGGTCACCACTGAAACCTGGGGTTCCAGGCTCAGTGACGAATCCAAGATCACACCCAAGCTGCGAACCTGTGTCTTCAGGGGGAGTGTGACCCCGTCCAACACAGGTTGTAACCCTATACCCTGTTCAGCCTTGCGACTGACCAGGAGTACCTCTGTCTTGTCTGGATTCAATTTCAATTTGTTCGCCCTCATCCAGACCGTCACAGCAGCCAAGCACCGGTTCAGGACCTGAACAGCCTCCTTAGTAGTAGGTGGAAACGAGTGACTGAGTTGGACATCATCTGCATACAGATGACATCGTACCCTGAAACTCCGGATGATCTCTCCCAGCGGCTTCATGTAGATGTTGAACAACATGGGAGACAGTATTGAGCCTTGAGGAACTCCACAAGACAATGGTTGTGGGGTTGAACAGGTGTCTCCTAGTAACACCTTCTGAGATTGACTTATCACTAGTTTACCAGAAAAACAAATTTTCATTGGTTATTCCTTGTGCTCAGAAACCAAATTTAATGCCTTATAAGAAGTCTTTTGTTAAACTAGTTTCCAGTTCACTAAAACAGATTTACAATGCACAAGCACCCCACTTTCTAACATATTTTCAGCTTTCTGGATACAGATTTACTATTTAGAAGACACCTATTATCTAGTAAGTTTCCAGTTCACTGGAAACAGATTTACTACTCATGCACAAGCCATTATCAAACATAGTTCAAACTCACTGAATATTGATTTAGAATTCATAAACAGTCCATTATCTGACAAATTTTCAGCTCACTGAACAGATTTGCAACTCATAAACAACCCATTATCTAACACATTTCCAACTCACTGAAAGTAGATTTACAGTGTATAAACAACCCATTATCTAATATGTTTCCAGTTCACTGAAAACAGATTTAGGATTCACAAGGATATCAGTAACTGACAAGCTGTTAGCACCATAAATAACATAATAATTTCTCTTACCATACCTTCAGTGAAAGCTAGCAGAATGACATCATGGATAGTGACACTTGTGTACAAGACAGGTATGCACAAGGTAATAGTGTCCTTACTGGTTATTATCAGATTATGACAGAAGGGTATGGGAGATTTTTCCTATTTCTGAATACCATGTATAACGAGAATTGGTTTCATGGTGAAACAGAATATTGTACCATGTAGTTCATAGTGTAACCATGTCCTACAGTATTATCATAGTGTAGACATGTCCAACTTCCTATTTTATACTTTGTTCAACTAACATCCACTAAAAGTGTGTGTGCATGTGCTCATGGGTACATACATAAGCATATTGTAAAACATGGGCCACCAGAGATGATAAAGGAATTTGCTCCAATATGCCCTGGAGCCAAAATGATAACAGAGGGATACTGATAATTCTTTTGAGAGTCGTTTGAAAGATGCCAAATTCCTCTATGTTATCAGAATGGCATTTTATTTTGCCATTGTTTTACATATCTCCAGAATTCATTAGTCTGTATATTATTTTATCCTGTTCATATATAGCCCTCAAGATGGCGAGTGAACTTGAAGTATGGAGCTTATGCTAGAGGGACAGGAAAGAAATAAAAGGGGATTCAGGAAGGGAGTTATGTAAACGAAAGTACTTACCATGTTTAATTGAATCTAATGCTAACCTTTTTTTGGCTAAATTACCTTCCCAAAATTAGGGTGCTAATTCAATTTGTGCTGAGCCAAAGCAAAAGGGGGCACTACTTCAGGAGTGCCTGGAGCTCCTATTAAAGTTAAAGTAGATTAATTCTACAACATAGATGCACCCCAATGTTTTCTTTTACATTACTGAAAGCTTTGGTGTTCTGACACTTTTGTTTTTAAAGAAGGAATTATAAACATGCAACCACTGTAATTTGCACCTTATTTGTCCAAATTACAAAAAGTGCACTTTTTGCTACTGCACATTACATTCACCAGCAAATACTTTTTTAGGTTTCAGGGTTTTGAAAATTGAGATATGCTTTAGTTTCGATAGTGCATTAGACTCAAGTAAATATGGGTATTTTGATATATACCTTAGCACAACAAAGGTAAGACATGGGAATTAGGATGTTTCTGTTACGGTTATTTCTGATAGTGATTTTTAATATTACATCTCAGAGAAATTAGCTTGTTCTATTATTTATCTTGGGATGCAGAAAATTATGGGAGCGGTATATGCCACTGTAGTATTAATGTGTTCTAATATATTTTTGGTAGGTTATCACAGCCAAATTACACAATTTTACCAAATTAGAGTACTCCATATCATACAGGCAGTCCCCAAGTTATGAACAAGATAGGTTGTGTAGGTTTGTTCTTAAGTTGCATTTGTTTGTAAGTCAAAATAGGTATATTTGTGTGTGTGTGTGTGTGTGTGTGTGTATCATAGAGGTGAATTTGTTTTGCTGCCTGTGCCCCTGTTCAGAAGATTTCACCTCACTTTCTGTTTCTGTGATAATTGAATTTTGAAAAAAAATTAGCTTATTGTGGAAACAAGCATCGGTGATAAAACTTCAGTTTAGACACCTTTTCCCAATGATAACACTTCCAATAGTTAATCTCGCTTCCTAGGGGTGGATTTCTCTCAGTTCATGATTTCTTGTCCCTGTTCTTAACTATGAGTCAATTATAAGTTAGATGTTTCTATGTTTGTAAGTCAAACATAGACTTCCTGTATAGCATTTTCCTGACATTTTCTTTGCCATATGTTATTTGCAGCTTTCTCATTACCTTAAGAGTCCAGTGAAAGAATCAAGAATCAATTATAATTTTCATTGTGCTGTTTGTAATATGTGTGAGCAGCTGAATCATATCCTCAGAAGGTTTATTGCTTTTAAAGCCATGGTTTAATCTCAGTCACCAAATGGTGATCACCTGTTGTCTGTTGCAAATATTCTTTATGAACAGATTGTCAGAAAACAAACTCCTTTGCAGCATCTGGGCTAGTAAAACAATTGGCAGATTGTTTCTGAAAAGGTAAATTGTCTGTACTCAATAAATAAGCACTTTTTTTAAAAAAAAGAAAACAAATAGGTAATTAAAATGTTTAACATATCTCTAGCATTCATTAGTCTGTACATTATTATTAGCCTAGATGAAAACAAACTCACTGAATCAGTGGGCTTTGATTGACTGTTGACTGTAAATTCAGATGAACAAAAGAAGTTAGGCTGTTGGCTTCAATTTGGCACACTGTTAATGTCATTCTTTAAATCCAAATTCTGCACTGGATTTTGTCAGTTGTCACTATTAGCATAGTCAGATATTAATAGATATTAATGCTGTCACTAATATCTTGTTCCATGTTAGTTGTATTACTTCTCATCTTCTAAACCATATCCACCAGTGTACTCCTCATATCATTATGTGAGAAGATCTATTTAAGAATTGGATTTCTTCAACTGTTTTAGGATATTTCAATATGATATTTCCCAAAACCATTGAGCTCAGCTCAGCATATGTAACATCTGTCTCTCAAGACACTATATAAAGTAGATGTTGGGTAATGTCTGTGTGAATCTTCTCTCCCCATATTTAGAGAAACAATGAAGTTGGTTCAGATGACATTTTCCAATATTGATATATTTAATTAATAAAACATTTAATATTTGAGATTCTCCGCAATCAAACTTTAATAGTAAACAACCACCATCAAAACTACAATCAGCTAGTTGTAAAAAAAAATGCCATTACAATGGCTGAAGCTTTATGTTTTTGCATTTTAGATGCAAAAATATTGATCTCTCATAATTTCTTCAACTGACTGTTTTATTTTTATTTACATGCTGTTTTCTTCTCCAGGAAAGTCAGATGAAGAGCACCATGATAGTATTTATAGGCTGCATCTCATTCAAGGGGTGTAATCCATCTTCGTTAAGTTTAGTAAAAGTGATAGATGGCATTTGGCAATGTAATGATGTGATCACTGTACCATTGCTTCTGTAAATCATAAGCTGTTGCTTTCTGTCATGTAGACAGTTAATCAGTTGTATACCATATTACTGATTTAACACATATTGGCAGCAGCAGGTAAATAATGTGAGGGTCTTTAGATTAATATCATATTGTATTAGTACTCTCTTCATTTGAAAAATAATAAACTGTTGTTTTGTGAGCAGGACAGAATAAACATCAGTGGGTTCACTATACATCAAGAGTTTTAATTTAGCATGAAGTATATGTCTCTGTGTGTGCATGTGTGTACATGTCTTTTCTGACTGCAATAAATCTTCAGCTTTTGTTTTCTTAAGCTACCATGCCCCATATTATTTCTAAATCCCAAGCTTAACCAGCACTCTTCATAAGCATCCTGCAATAACCAAATAGTACTTTTTGTTCTTGCTTACACCTGTACAAGATTAGTAAAGTCATAGAATCATAGGGATTCCATGGGCTATTAGATTGAAGCCACTGCTGATCCCCATTAGGAAGAGAGAGCAACCACAGAGGGAGAATCCACAAGCCACAGATTGAAATATAATCAACAAAAAGATTTATTTCTCAAGGATTGAAGACTTGTTGTAAACTCTTTTCTAACTTTCTGTATTCTATCTGTGTATCTACCTATCATCTATTTACATAATGTATAGAGATAAATCTGATAAACTTGTCATTATTCAGACATGTATGCGTTCCTAATATATTTGATATTTTGAAATATATGAATTTACAGTGGTGCCATAAATAATATTCTGCTATCTAATCATATTAAAATAAAATAAAAATCCCAGACTCATACAAATATTTTAACATTATTATTGCAATGTTGACCATTTCACCCCTTAATTAAAGCTGTTGTTTAACAATCTTATCCTTGATAGATGTTGGTTCTGTAGAAGGTCTGGCATATCATAGAGGTTGGGATGCTTTGTATTGGACAAGTTCAACTACATCTTCTATTACAAGGCACACAGTTGACCAGAAACGAAGAGGTGCTTTCAACAGAGAAGCAGTAATAACAATGTCTGAAGATGATCATCCACATGTATTAGCACTTGATGAATGCCAAAAGTAAGTGTCATGGCTATATTTATTATTGATTGAGGAAGTTTTGATTTTCAAGTCATTATTTTTTCCTCCTGGCAGCAGGAACTTCTTTTGGTTGCAATATAACTCAATATTTTTTTAATCTTTTTATAATTCTATATTTGTATTAAAACCTAAAAGACATATGAATATCAAGTTTCTAAAGTAGAATCCACACATCTTTCATATGTTTTTTCTTGTTTTAAGTAACCTGTCAGTATTTTTAATTATTTAATTATGGGACTAGTTTTTCTTTAAAAAAAACAAACAACTTTTTTCTGTTTAAAAATACAGTTTAATGTTTTGGACTAACTGGAATGAGCATCATCCAAGCATCATGAGAGCAACATTGTATGGCAAAAATGCACAAGTTATTATCAGCACTGACATCTTAACACCAAATGGACTTGCCATTGATCACAGTGCAGAGAAATTGTACTTCTCAGATGGCAGTTTGGGTAAAATAGAAAGGTGTGAATATGATGGATCCCATAGAAATGTAAGTAAAAACATAGTACTAATTTATAGGAAAACATTAATAAATTCAGTGTAAGAAAACAGTAATAGGCTTACAAAATATTGCATATATTACGAATAATTATTATATTACTAATAAGCAATAAATATATAATAATAAGTGACACTTAGACAATTTCTTTTGGATACATCTGGCTGTACAGGAACAAAACCTCTATTCCAAATACACATGTACTTCTCATCCCTTATCTCCACCTGCCTTTCAGTATAATGAGTAAATAGGGAAAAAAAGTTTTTTGTTTAGCTGTATACATGTAGGCACCCCATGCAATGAAGAATTCCAGTGATATGGAGACTTGAATCCAGTGCCACACTAATTGATACACTTCTGAGGATAATTCCATTTAAAGTCAGATCTAAATCTAAGACCAGATTCATTCAAATACTTCACCAACAAGATTCAAATATATTCAAGATTAGATGTTTTAATAAGCATAACGATGGTTAATGGATGCAGAAGATGGGAAATGGCAAAGAAAGCATGTAACAACATTTTATCTGCCAGAGACTCACACACTTTAGTAAATTGGCCTTAGAGGTCAAATGTTCCAGATCCATATGCACTTCTTACTCTGGGTGAAAGTGAGGATGTTTTATTAATCATTATTAAAGTCAACAGAATAGCTATTGTTTGAGTCTTCTTTATCTTGAAATATTCGAAAGCCCAAAACGTTTGGCTGTCAGCCATCCACTTCCATGTTTTGGGAGATGGGGCTAGTCACATGTCCAATGCTCACCAATAATTCAAAATTTGAAAAAAAAATCAAAATTGAAAAACTTGTCCCATACATTTCTGATAAGGAAGACTCAAAGTGTTATAAGAACTTTAATATTTCACTTGTCCTTGTCCTATTTTGAATTGGATAAAATATTAATAGTAATAATCATAGTAATACTGTAGATATTTCCCTATTAAAACTATGTGAACTCTGTATGTCATTTTCAAGGGAAGAAGGTCAACGTATCTTCCGACTTTTCTGCATGAAATAGATATAACCCTCTTCTTATTCATAACAGTCAGTCTTGTGATTTAACCATTTATAGTTTACATAGTTAGAGTTTCTTGTGAATATTTTTCCACATCTGTGAACACCACACATTAACTCAGAATCCAAGGAAGAAAGGATAGAAACTCTTCCTGGGAACTGTGGGTTTGCCACAGTTCCTGTGTTCCAGACATCTATCCATTTCTACATCGGATGGCTGCCTAGGTACATGTGTTGTATGAGCTTTTATATGATTAAAGAAAAAGTGGATCGCTTTGAATATATGCAAGAACACATACACACAAATATACACATACTATTTTGAAAACAGATGTGACAGTACCTTTCTCATATCAGTACTACTCTATTAAATCCATAATAAGGATGAGGGGAGATTTGATTTTATTCCCTTTTTTGAGATGAATATTCCAAAATATCAACTATTTTGTTTATCTCAATTTCGTTGACATTTTGCCATGAAAAAATCAGTAAATTTTCCATCATCTTCTTTACAAATGCAAACATAACTGTGTTTGTTCAGTCTGGTAGATAATGTATAATCCAGTTGAGAAACATGAAAAATGAATTGTTGTGTCAGCTTTAGGTAGCATTTCCTTTTGTCGAGACTCTTTATGCTCACTGTGATTTTATCTCAAATGTTCTAACAGTATTCCTTTATTGTTATTCAAATTAAAGCAGATAGAACTGTTTAATTCCAACTAATGAGAGCAAGGGAAACAAATGTAGTAGAGAGCAAGTGCGTGTTCAGTTGACTTCTGTTTCCTTTCCCCACCAGGTGATTGTCAGATCTGGACCTGGTACTTTTCTCAGTCTGGCTGTTTATGATGACTGGATCTTCTGGACAGACTGGGTGAGAAGAGCTATTCTGCGATCCAATAAATATACAGGTGGAGATACAAAAATTCTTAGATCTGATATACCACATCAACCAATGGGCATCATAGCTGTTGCTAATGACACTAACAGCTGTAAGTTACCAAGCACAACATTAATATTTCTTTACTGGTAGATATTTTTTCCAAAAATTTCTTTCAGTAAAACAATGATTTCTGCCGTTTAGCAGATTGTTCTTGTTTAGTTATAAATTATAATAGACAGGAAAGGGAAAACCAAAAAGGCTGCAAATTTGAAGTTTATCTTTGTTGGCAATTGCCAGTCTATACATACACATTGGAGTCCCTGGTGGCGCAGTGTGTTAAACCACTGAGCTGCTAAACTTGCTAACCAAAAGATTGCAGGTTCAAATCTGTGACGTGAGTTACTACTGTCATCCCCAGCTTCTGCCAACCTAGCAGTTCGAAAACATGCAAATGTGAGTAGATCAATAGGAACTGCTCCGGCTGGAAGGTAACAGTGCTCCATGCAGTCATACTGGCCACATGACCTTGGAGGTGTCTACGGACAGTGCCAGCTCTTTGGCTTAGAAATGGAGATGAGCACCAACCCCCAGAGTTGGACATGTCTGGACTTAATGTCAGGGGACAACCTTTACTTTTACCTTACATAAACATACTGATAAAAATGAATTTACAGTATTCCTTCAAGTTGAAAGGGGTTAGAGTTTTTTTGGATGTCCCTTGCTTAAATTTTGGCAGTTACATACACATTAAAACTTGACAAGCACCTGAGTTTTCTAATATTTTCATAAAAGATCAATGCATTATATATTGATTTGGGTTCAGATTTTCCAGGAAGTTCTTTGAAATGTAGGATCTTAGTCCAATGAGGAAATGATAGTTTCTTAGCTAAAGCCTCTTTCAAGGCAAATCTTCAAGACAGTCTCCATCTATAGTAACACTTTAATGCAGTTCTAAGCTAGTTTCAAACTGTGCTGGTCAGTATGCATCAGTGTTCTGTGAAATCACTATCTAGATTTCAAACTGGTTCCAAGATTTCTTATGTAATCATATGAACAGCAAAATCGCTTTCTTCAATACTGGTTTGAAACTACATTGAAATGGTCAGTGTGTCACAAATCTCCTATACAGTATCCTTTATTATCTAGGTTAGAATAACATTGCAATGTGTTTACAGTATCACTAGCCACTTCAGACTCCTTGATTCTTTTTGTATTGCTACTATTGAGAGCTGCTTATTCATCAGAAATTTTCCACTAAACAGAAACTCATTATTTCAAGCCTAGGCATGCACTTGTTAGCAATCTAAGTCTGCTCCATGGTAACTAATCATTAGGCTTTTAAAAAGCAACTGAAGTTCAATATTCAATCACAGCTTAAAATTTTTCTCCCACAATTAACAAAAGCTGCAATATGGAAGAACTATAATCATGCATATTGCACATTGATCCATAACTTGATTAATCATCCTTTTGGAAATGTAAAAATATCTTTTAAATCTAGCATATATATAAATATTTAAAAAAACTATTTCATTTTATTAAATTATTTTTTTTCCAAATAAAGGTATTTTTCCTTTTTCCAAAAACGTTTATATTTCCTTCCTCTAAAAAAACAAAAAAATAAACCCAAACATATAGATAAAATCCAGAGAGATAATCTAGCCACCTTTTAAAATCTGTTGACACACACTATGTCACTTATTTAATATTATAGAGAGAGTGACACAGAGAGAGAGACATATTTTTTTCTAGTTACCTAGAATGTGTTGTCACTCAGTGGGAACATAGTGATTGAAGTTATCTGTGCCACTTACCTTTACCAAAATGGAAGCAGGTAGATTCGGGTGAAGGCAGAAGCTTGCCACTTGGCATACAGATGTATGAATATTCTAGTATTCCACTTTTCAGCACAGCAGTTAGATCACAAATTCTTCCTTCAAACCTATCTTTCAGCTATTTCTGTTGTACCAAAATATTTAGTTGTTCTTATGCATGGTTTGCTTCAACCAGATTCTCTGTACTTGCCAATCCTGATCTAGTAGTATCTTTTGTAACATACCATAGCTAATATTGGCCACTCTATTTCTTTCATTTTACCATTTGTGGGCCATTGTTTTTCTTCCAAAAAGCAAATAGTCTTTTTTTCCCTCGAGATCCTTACGTATCCAGTGTTGTTGTAGCAACAGAAGGCTATAAAATGAGCATACCTGCTAACAAGTAAGAACTCAAATGGATCAGTTCTTTGAAGGAGAGAAAGGATCCATCTAATTAGTCTAGTCCAGGACTTCTTAAGACCTTATCATATTGGGATATACTCCATTTCTTAAACTGTTTGAACATTCACACCTAGCTGCAGCAGGGAAGAGCTCCTTGCCCCACCCCAGCCATTCCACAGATATATAAACCCATTGTCCTAATTCCAACAGACCTCACTACCTCTGAGGATGCAGGCGAAACATCAGGAGAAATGCCTCTGGAACATGGCTCTATAGCCCGAAAAAACCCACAAGAATCTAGTGTTTGAACATGATTCCAAACGGGTCCTTATCGCATGATGTTCATTCCATTCTAACAGCAATCTATTGGAATCAGTCTGCAAAATGTCAAAGAAACTGAGTAAATGCATATAGTATTCTAATCTTGTCTTTTGATTTACTTAGATTTTACACATTGCTGAGGCACTATTTTTTTCATGTGATCAGAAAATCAGTATGCATTCCATCAGCTAAAGCCTTGAGAGAACAATAGTTTGAGAGTTCCAGGCTATGTCACTGTGCAATATTAGAAAAACAAAAGAAGTGGCATTCTAATTGATTGCGAGGAGCCAAACTTACATGGTGTGATGAGTCAAAGAGCAATATTTTTGGATTGTAAGAATGCATCCAGTCCTTCAAAAATACAGGATGCATACTTTATTAAGAGATTATATCCCAATGTGATAAGGTCCTTAAACATTTCCATTCGCAACCCCTTTTTGTCTGAGAAATGTTTACATGGTCCAGGGGAAACAGGTAAATAAAATAAGTATAGAAATCAAACATTTGCTGATAGTAAATCAGCATTTGTAAATTTAGTGTGTGTGTGTGTGTAGAGAGAGAGAGAGAGATGCCATAATAAATGCCCTTATAAAGCCCGATCCTTTAACTAGGTCTTGGCAAAGTGAAATAGGCATAGTGGCACTCTGGTGCTCTCTGCAATCCCCAGTATTCTGACACTTTTCTACTTCTTTATAAGAATGAAAGGAAAATATAATGTATGAACTCTTCTGGAATCACCCAGAAATTGTGATGAACCTGTTGCATAAATCATAGCTTCCCTCACATAAAAAACACCAACTTTTCAAAACCAAAAGAAGACTACTTCTCAATTTGTTTTATTTTTCATTCTGACACTTTATGAAGTTGTCAGAGGGTCCCAGGGAAGGAAAATTAGACTCCAACCTGTTACCGCTACACACTTCTGCTTTACAATCTTGACAGTTAAATAATTTGTGTGTTTAGAAACCCCATGATTTTGTTGGATTTGAGCCAATCAGCAGATCCCAAACAAGGATGTAAATAATGTTAATGTCAATACAAGGTACTTGATATTTGAGGATTTAATATTACATTCTCTGTTTTCCCAGGTGAATTATCTCCTTGTGCCCAAATGAATGGGGGCTGTCATGATTTGTGCCTTTTAACTCCAGATGGCCGTGTGAACTGTTCATGTAGGGGGGACCGAATTCTTATAGATGACAACAGATGTGTGCGTAAGTAACATCAGCTAGTTGACCATCATGATGTCCAACTTAATCTACTTAGGGTGAGGAACACAGTGTATGTTTGTGGGACTTTATTTCTGGGACTTTAGAAATCAGCTTTCAGTTCCTGCCAAATGATACAACTCTCTGGGTGGTATAATCACTTTCTATCCTGCCTCTCAGCATTCTTGTGGGGTTAAAAATGGAAGCAACAGCAGTGTAAAGGAAATGAGATATAAATCTGTATAAGAAATAACAATAAATTGGGTGCAGAAGACTGATAGCTGACCACAGGAAACTCAGGGAAAGCCTTCATAGTACAAATGCTCTCTTCCTTCAAATATCATGCCCTGGACAATAGAACAGGCTTTTTTTTTTAAGTGAGCCTAGACAAACTACTTGTGTACTCATCCTGGGATAGATGATAAGTTTATCCTGGACTCAAACTGAAAACACTGACCTTAAGCCAATATTTAAGAGCCAACCACCAGGCTCTTCTTGACAAGGGGTTTTCCACAGTTTCTAGCAGCAAGATGCAGGTTGGGGCACATCTGGGAAACTGAAAGAGTGTCCTCAAGAACATTGGTTGCAGCTTAGCCAACTGAGATCTTAAAGCCAGCGATCCAAATACTGGAAGCATGTAGTAGCTGGGAGGCTGACTTGGCATAAAAAACTTTAGTAGAAGAAGTTATATACTGACCCCCTTTGATAAGACTAAAGTACAAATCGCTGATTGGCTTACTTATACTTTCTGGGGAAAAGCAGCTATATTAGTGCTCCAGGACATTGTGTGATGGAATATCAGCCCCAGGTATTGGAAGCTTCTAACCGGTTCTAAAGTATGCCATTGACATTGGGAGTTTTTTCTCAAAAACCAGAACTTTAGATTTCGCATAGTTGATTTTCATCATTTTGTGTGCAATAATTTAGGAACTTCCTTAGTAAATACATTAAACATGCTCTGGAATGTGAGATTAGAGCAGCAGCATCAGAATAGAGCAATAATGGAATTTTTGGGGGTCCAACAGAATTTCATCCCGATCATTTATTAATATGTTAAACAAGGTAAGGATAAGGATGCAGCCTTGTCTGACTCCTCTGGACATATATATTTCTCCAGAAAGTTGACCCAAGTTGCCACAACTGATCTGTAGCTTGGTGTCACTATACAGGGCCTTGATGAGACCTAGGAGTCTTTTATCACAAACGATCTCTATTTTAAAGATATAGTCAATTCCCACAAATGGATGCTGCAGTAAATTAAAATAGATGTACTCATGTAAAAATAAATAACCAACTTCTTCAGTGTTCAACTTATGTCCAATTTTGGCCTTCTTATGCTAAATTTTAGTGAGTGAAAAATCAAGATCAAATGAATCTCCTGTAAAAAGATGTTGTTGTTGTTTATTTAATTTATTCAAGAAAGTGGGACACAGGTGAGAATTAATGAGAGGATATAGTTAGAACCCTGTTGGGAACTGATTCATTATGACCCTTTGGTAATGTCTTCATTCTAGGTTTATATTCTGTTTTTACATGAATATTTTTCATGCCCAGTATGCTGCAGGTAGGAAGATGCTTTGATAGCATCCAGGACTAGAGGCCAGAGCAAAAGGCTTCTGGTGTGAGGCACCAAGATGAAACACATGACATGGATGGAACTGCTGTTATTTAATGCCAGCTCATCTTTTCATGTGGCTCTTTTCTGATTTGTTTTGCAACTGAGGGTTTTTGTTTTGTTTTTGCATCTAAAAGCAATTCTGCAATAGAGACTAAAAGTATATTCAGTATTATTAATTTCTTGACTTAAGCTTCAGAAGCCTAGTGAGGAAGAACAACACAGTGGCAAGAATTATATTGAGTTTTTGATCAGTATTGTGCAGTATTCACATGTCCGAAATTGTTTTTGGGAAATTATTTAACATAGAAATTCATGGGGGGGGGGGGGGTATTCTGCAAAGACATCTCTCCCCATGAGAGTTATCTTTCCTGGTAACTCTCAGGGGGCATGTCTATTTCTGTATAATGCAATTTTATGAAACACTTTAGAATATGCAAATACTAGGTGAGAACGGCACAAAAATGTTTGTTTGTATGTTTTCCTAAGTGGGCAGATCAATTATAAGTATGATCTCATGAAATATTTATATCCCGGGTGAATCTGAATTGAATCTACACTCTGAATTTGTAAACTGACTTTTTCTTAACTGTCTCTAATGGGGGCCCAATGTCAGTGCATAGCTGCTATGTATTAAATTGTTAAGCCATTTCCAAAAAGGTTTGGTCTAAGTATATGATTGATGGTCAAGATATCTCTGATACAAGAACTGTAAGTTTTTACACACATCTGTTCATTACATTTAGCTTCTGAGATTTGAAAACATATTATGCAGTCCGAAGATTGTCCTCTGGTTTTGATATTAAGAGATATTTTCTAGATGCCTATAATAAACGGCCACCAGTTTCAACAAACAATGGAGGGACGGTAGGCAGAATTTGTCTCAGGCACTACATACTCAAGATGGAGAACAAAAGGCAAACAACAAGGCTGGGCTCAATGTGAGGCCATGAGGGAACCAGTGCACACATACCCCCTCACTCACAAGAAGCCACACAGTGGGAAACCTCCACTATATATTATATTTTGCCTTTGCTACCTCCAATTATTCATCGAATTTTTTTCGCTGCCACCAATTTATTATTTTTATAGGCCACCTCCTTTACTGGGAGGTTTAAAAAACATGAAGACTTCTGTTGAAATAAAACAGGATTATGTTGTTTATTTTGAACATCAGTAGCAACAAGACCAGCAACCAACAACAGAACAACATGGCAACTTAAGTAGAAGAAACCTTGCTAACAAAATCATTACTTTTTCAGAGGAAAGTCTTCTCTGTGTCTGTGATGACATTCACCTCATACTCAAACCCCTTACAAGGTCAAATTCTAATAATTTTAAATGTAACTATGAGGATTTATCATGAGATTAAAGTTTATGTTCTTTTTCATTGTTTATAAAAAGCTTTGTGGCCACAAGTAGCTTCAGAGCTGCAGTAATCAGCCTGTCAGCATTCTTCTTTCTTATATCAATAGATATTTGAAATGGAAATGACTTTCACTGGAGTAAAGATTCTCAGTGAAAGCACCCATTTTGAAACACTTATTGCAACATAAAGTACATCAAACCTTAAACATCTGCAAATTTGTCATGCTTATGATGCATTTTGAAACAAGAAAAAATATGCAGAAAACTGGGTACATTAGTACAAATATGAATGTTTGACTATGCTTACAATTGAAAAATTATATACATTTCAGTGGGTTGTTGTAGGTTTACATTTAGGTTTATATACATTTCAGTCAGTAAGGAAAATGCATAATACAGTCCATATTTGAGGAAAACACAGGGTTCAGGGAAGGGCAAATAGAATGCAGGGCAGTGCAACAAATTTGCACCTGTGATTATGGATTTTCCAGTGAATACAACACCACTTCCAAATGTACCTGCACCGTATATGCTATTATGGAAATATATTATGTAGGAGCTAACAAGACTTTTGCACACCAATCAATGAAATAATGGGGCCACAAACAGGATATGGGATGAACTAAGAGCAACTTTAATTGTTACCTATTTAAATATTTCTCTGATGTGCAATGAGAAAAGGGTGGAGCAATCTGATACATGAGCTGCTGGGGCACGTGTTGTCTACCAGACCTCTTTCCCAGCTTTTCCTGGATGGAAAACACCTGAACCCCCAAGAGAAACCCATCTAAAAATTTGGTTTCTCCCAGGCCATCTATCTCTAGGAAGGGTCTCTAGCCTTAAGGTGCATTGCCTTTGAACTGGGCAAAAAGTCTGGAGGCCAGCCCCAAATATTTTTTTTTCCTGTCCCTCTGCTCACATGACATACAGAAGCAATTTCAGTTTTCTATCCTTTATCAAAGGTGCCATAGGTGATCGATGTACACTTCACCCCCACCCCCACAAAACCTTCCACAGAGTGTCTGCTTTCTCCCTATCCTACAACAGTTGAACTAATATGGTCCTGAATTCTGATTGCAAATCTCCAAGAAACAGCTAGTTTCCCAACCCAGGCCCCATCTACACTACCATATAATGCAGTTCAATGCAGTTAAACTGAATTATATGAGTCTACATAATGACCAAAGGTTGCAATTTCAAACTGTATTTTATGGTAGATTGCATCAACCCTGAATAACCCAGGCTTGCAATAAAGGATGTTGAAATGTGGAAGAATGAGGCATTGCCAGCCTCCCTATTAACCAATTATGTAGGATTTCATCATTGGATTCAGGCAGCAAGACTGACTTTTGTCCAATGACTTGAATGCTGTATGAGTCTAATCCAGTAGCAAAAGCGGTTGATATTTAAAAGTCGGTTTCTGAATTTAGCTTCTTGCAGACCCAATCTGTCGAAGGCTATTGAAGTTACCCTAGTTGATACTTTGTTAAAGCAGGCAGGTCAACATGGGGAAAAGAAATGGAGGGCAGAATGATAGTCTTACAGTGGCACAAATTTGTCTAGCGTATGTAACCTGTGCAACAAGAACTGGCCAAACATCACTCATGCTTTTTTGGTAAATTCTCATATTTCCCTGATATATGCTTTCCAAGAACTTGGCTCTAAAGGGCAAACAGGTGGCTATGACTACTTCCACTACAGCGGCCATTTCAAATATGAAAAGGGGCAGCTGGTAACAGGTTTTCGGCTTTTGGAGTATTGGTTTTGGAGAATTTCAGATTAAAGTTGCTCAGTCTTTATATCACAGAGTGCTTCATTGTTGCTTAATTCTTTCCACTAAAAAGCCATTAAAAAGTGTACTACAGTATGGGAATTAAAATGTTTCAAACTTTGTTCTTGTGAATATAGAGCTGCTCTTAAGATTTTCATCAGTAAATAAATGTACAGTCGCCGTTGTATAGATTTGCAGTCTTTGCTATACAGCTGCTTCTTTCTGGCTGTATAATTAAAATGGAGTGCTCTATACAGATGATTTACATTGAAAACAAGCAGGTTAATTAAGACTGAACACTGTTGCAGTACAACACAATCTAGAAGCAGCTGTGAAAATCATATCCTGTAGAGATCAATTGATCTTGTATAGACAACCATCTGATTTGCATTGGTTCCAAGTTAATGTAATTAAGCATCAGTATCTCACCATAACAGCTTATTTCAGTATAGCCATTACTAATGAATCCATACTGTATCACTAAGAGTACCACACACAGCTGATTTCCAGTAAATTCAAAACTGTAATTACCTTGGCAATATAGCCAGGCATTTATGCATCCCACAAGTATTTAGGTGTTTTTTTTATTAAATACAGTGCAGTGTTAGTGTAAGTAAGCAGCTTCACTGGTCGTGATACAATAGAAGCATAACACTGAAATCATTTGCAACTTTTCAAAACATACATCTATACATCTATTCTATATATATATATATATATAGCGGAAGGAGGACGTAGGGCGGAGGTGTTTGTGGCAGCTTTCTGATTGGCTGCCACTGTGGTGCTATTTGCACGTGGTCTCTGATTGGCCAGTCTCAATTCCAAGATTCTGAGGTGACAAAGAGAGGAAAGGAAAAGGCCTGAGACTGTGTCAGAAAATTACCAATACAGACCAAACTTGGCACACACAGCTGCAAGACCCACTCTACATCCTACTGCAGTTTGGAGTAGGATGGACCATGGATGATGTGAGTTGCAATACCATCACTTACTTTCTGAGACTGCTGTGACCTTCATCAATGACTGATCAAGACCAAACTTGGCACACAGAGCCCACATGACCCACTCTCCATCCTGGTGCAGTTTGGAGGAGGATGGACCACAGATGATGGGACTCTCAGTACCTTCACTAACTTCCTAAGACCACAGCAATAAAGACCAAACCTGACACACTCCCTTCCTGCACTCCCTTCCTGAGACCATTACAACTGCCAACAATGATGGATCAGGACCACAATTTGCGCAGAGAGCCCGCATGACCCAGTCTACATCCTGGTGCAGTTTGGAAGAATTTGGAGATGAATGATGGGACTTGCAGTAACTTCACTTACTTCCTGAGACCACTGAGACCCTAGCCAATGACTGATCAAGACCAAACTTGACACGCATAGCCCCCATGACACACTCTACATCCTGGTGTGGTTTGGAAGAATTTGGAGATGGATGATGGGACTTGCAGTCACTTCACTCACTTCCTGAGACTACTGAGACCCTTGCCAATGACTGATAAAGACCAAACTTGGCACACAGAGCCCCCATGACCCACACTACATCCTGGTGCACTTTTGAGGACGACAGACCATGGATGATGGGACTTGCAGTAGCATCACTCACTTTCTGGGACTGCTGTGACCTTCATCCAATGACTGATAAAGACCAAACTTGGCACATAGACCTCTCATGAGCCACTTTACACCCTGGTGTGGTTTGGTTGGACCATGGAGGTACTTGCAGTACCTTCACGCACCAACCTTGATACACAATTCCTATAAATAACAAATAAAGACCAACCTTGATACACAATTTCTTTCTCAAATAACCCAGGCAGTGATGGGTCCCCAAGATAGTTTTAAATAAATAAAAGAGTAAATACCCATAATGTGTTTTTGAGTGTGGATAACTGAAATGATAAAAAAAATCCACCTCCTTCTGGTTCACTAATATATCAGCTATTGAATCTTGTTCTGATCCAAATTTATCCTGTAATAAACTATAGTTGTCTCTGCTTGACATAAATATGTTTTCTGTTGTTGAACACTAATTGAAATTTAAACTTGCAAAAACAAAAGTGATCAGTTTTGTACAACTGTCAGATTTCTCATAGTTTTAAACATTTGTGACAGCTTCAACATATGCAGAGAGACAGACACATCTCTTTCTGCATCTATGTATTCACCGTGCATATAATTCTGGCTGTCCCCACAACATTACTGAACTTCTGGTGGGTCTGGCCAACCTGGTTTAGCCCATGTTAAGAAACGCTGGGACATGCTTCAGAGTTTGCCTGAAACACCGAAGCAACCCATGACTTCAGCACAGTGTGAACACCAGGATTGCATCCCATTCATACCAGCCCATTGATCATACAGGCCATCACTACCATTCCCTTTTTCCTGCAAACATTAGTTTAGAGAAAAATATGGATGAGGCCCATGTCACTGCTACCAGATAGTCACAGAGCTCTGTGAGAGCTCCTGGCCATTGTGGGTGTCCCAGGCTAAAATAAGGAGAGGTGCCTATGCTACCATCAAGAAGGAGATGTTTTCTTCCTGCTCACATGGGTGCCTCAGCTGATGTCAGCGCAGGGTTCCCAAGTTATCCAACAGGTCTCATGGAGCTCTAACAATGTCTGGTAGTGACAACACCAATACAGATGGTCAGGTGACAATTCAGCATGACCAATGCACTCTCAGCCTGACTGGATTAGCTAGATTCCAACTCACCACTGCTGCAGGCTCAAGATGGTGTTTATGTTCACCCACAGGGCCAGTTGTGGATTAACTGGCAAATGTAGATGAGCCCCACGTCTATCTATGGAACGTAAGCAATTTAAAGAGCCATTGCATATATAAAAACCTATGAGGATTTACCATAAAATCATAATATCCTAATTTCATACTAAAGGCCTATACAAATGGAAACACCATTTAAATGTGGTTTCCAACAAGAGTTTTTTTTTGTTAGAGTCAAGGTTTCCCAGACATTATGTAAAATACAGTGTTGCCTGCTAAGTAGCATGTAAAGTATGATGATTACCAATATTTAATGGCATCAAAAATATAAGTTTAGGAGGAAAATGTGAGGGTAAAATCTAATCCAAAATATGTTTATCCTTTGTATAGTCTTCTAATTCCCAACCCTTTAGCAATATACCAACCCCACATGATAATAAGTTTGATGAATCAGAAAGTCATATAACTGGCGATTGTTACTTAGAAAAAATAGGAAATAAACCCACAAATATTTCAAGAAAATGGGCCAAGTATATTCTTAAGTTTCTGACCAAATTGTTTTATAGCATGTAGAAAACACGTAACTACTTTATAGAATGTGAGCACTTGATGTGTCCAGGCAGTGAATTCAAACATACAGAGGGGAACTTAAAAAATGAATAAAATCATAGATTCCAGATCTTGTCTTGAGTTATGGAAATCTTTGCTTGTCCCTTTTGAGAGCAATTTTACCAATTTTAGATTTCCCAGGATAATTGATAAAAACTCTATTATTCTCAATCTTTACTATTTTGTTCTTTGACACAAAATCTATTCTGCAGCCTTTGGCATAGCAGCTTTGAAATTGTACTAAGGAGCATGATTCCCAAACCACATGCTCTTAACTGAATGGAGGAAAATGAAATGATTCAAGAATTTAAAAAGTCATGTAGTTGCAAATGTTAAAATAGGTTGTCACAGCAAGATAGTTTCTATGCCCTTATTGTTCTGTCCCATGGTAACTACTAGTAATAGAGCTATACTGTGCTTAAAAACAGATTTGCAGCTGCACTTGTGGCAAATATGCAACTGGCTGAGGAAGAACAGGGAGTTCATGGGAGATTGATCATAGACACCTTCTGTGAATGTAAACAAAGTTGAGTCCACCTGATTTTCTTGGGCTCACTCTTTGCCTCTCTACCTTCATAACATGGCCTATTTTATTCTTTGGGATCCCCTGGCCCCAAGGGGATATGGTTGAAGGGACTTGGGAGGAGGAAAACAATGAAACTAGATTCTTCCCAGATAATACTGGATTATCTGGATCCAGCCTTTCAGTTTTTGAAACTATTTTTAAATAGTTTGGTGTTTGAGCCCATTCATTTTGAAATCCAGCCTAGTTTTTTATGTTTGTAATTTCAGCTAAAAACTTCTCATGCAACTTTTTCTCTGAATTTGAATGTGGAAATGGTGAGTGCATTGATTACCAACTCTCCTGTGATGGTATACCCCACTGCAAGGACAAATCTGATGAGAAGTTACTTTATTGTGGTAAGTCAAACCATGATAATATATTTTCTTCATTTGGTTATAGCATACCCAATTTTCACTTAAAACCGCCTATAACTTGTTAACTGTTTTCTGAAACTCCAAACTTCTCACTATGTTCCATGTAAATAATAAAGGCTGATCTTTATTTTAAATTACTAGAAAACAGAAGCTGTCGAAGAGGCTTTAAACCCTGTTTTAATCATCGTTGTATATCTACTAATCAAGTATGTGATGGAAAAAATGATTGTGGTGATGACTCTGATGAAATAGGCTGTGAAGGTACTGCTCAAGTTAATCTGCACTCTAATTTTAGAAAACATATGTTGTGAAACTATCATTTTGAAAAAAATATCTTTGGTTAAGATACCAATGATTTGATAATGCAATGGTAATTACCCTGGAAACTGTGAAAAGAAAGACTGAAGCATTTAAGGTCTTGTTGATTCATGATTTTTAATATGCATACTTGCATTTTCTGACTGTGGCTCCATAAAATAATAAAAATAATAATTATTGAATGCCTTTAGGTCTGATTTTGGAAGAGAAGTGGGATATGAATTCAAATAAATATAAAATGGTGATAAGTATTATGAGAAAGGGGGAAAAACAATAATTAAGGTTCCAGTGGTGATTGATGGTCTAGGAGAAATTTCATGCCAAATGACAAAATATTTGAATGAAATCTCCATAAATAGTACAATAGATGGACCATACCACAATTACATAAATAGTGTAACCACTTAAAATATGTTATTTTACCCAGTGTTGCCCTTCTAAGTCCTAGACTTCTGGATAGAATCTAAATAATTGATGGTTCAAAATTCCAGTCAGTAACAATGACACAAAATGGTGAAGCCAACATGATAATGACAATGAGGAGGAGGAGGAGGATAATGGCATCTTACAAATGTTAAAAAGATACACATAAAATTCAAACACACACACACACATATCTTATCAGTAGGAGCCACAGTGGTGTACGAGTTTGAACGTCGGACTACAAGTCTGGAGACCAGGGTTTGAATTCCTGCTCAACCATGAAAACTGGATAACTGTGGGCAAGTCACTTCCTCTCAGTTTCAGAACACTCCATGATAGAATTGCTTTAAATCAAAAGTACTTAAAAAGCACAGTCAATACAAAATAATGAATACAGGCAATGCAACACACCATTAAATGCCTTTTCTCAGTGAGCAACCCTAAGGCCCACAGAAACAACTAAGCCTTTCACTGGAAAACTACTTAGGAGGGTGACAGTGTCACCTTTATAATAAGGGAGTTATAGAGCATAAGAGAAGCTGTCAAGAAGCCCCTCTTCCATGTCCTCGTCAGATTTATCTGTAAAATGATGGGATGGTGAGTAGCTCCTCTACTGACATTCTCAAAGCCCAGGTAGTCCTGTGTGGAAAAACATTTCCCTTTAGATAACCTGGACCTGAGTCATAGAGGGCTTGATAGGACAAGCATTTTGAGATACTTGAGTACATCTACTGATATATGAACAAAAAGGCTTGTTTTCTATGTTAAAATATGGTCTCTGCAGATTTTTAAGCAGAGGCTGGATCTGTTGGTGATGCTTTGATTCTGTATTCCCACATAGCAGAAGGAGATTGGGCTGGAAGGCCGTTATGGTCTCTTCCAACTTCATAATTATATAATTCTATTATTATACATGCAGCAAATGCTCTTTCCTTTGCAAAACAAATAAGTACAAATTTTGCATAGAACAAATCCCAAATGTCAAGAAGCCTTCAAAGATGGTGTAGTGTTTGAGGACATTTTCTCAGCAGGAATAAAATTGCTGAAATTGCTCATCACTATCTCCAGGAAGAAGCTTAGTAAAAAATTATATCCCTAAGAGGGAATTATTTTCCTTAAACAAATTACTACTAGAAAATGTTAACATCCTAAAAACAAAGGTGCTAAAAGATGCCCTTCTAGATTATACTCATATTGTCTGGGTAATTTTATTTTAGGTAAAGTATATTTCAAGTATTTAGTTGATTTAGTAAGAGGGCTAAACAGTGCTAACTGCATTTATCTCTCTCTTCCTCTCCTCCTTAATACTTTATCCTGCAGTTTCAGGATGTACTTCAACAGAATTTCGCTGTGCAGATGGAATGTGTATTGCAAAATCAGCACAATGTAATCAGGTTATTGATTGTTCGGATGCTTCTGATGAAAAAAATTGCAGTAAGGAACTCTATTTTTACATTACCAACATTTCCTTTAATATTATTCTAGTATTTCATTCCTGTGTAATTAATTTGTATTATTTGCACTGAAATCCTGTACATATCCACAAAATACAAAAGTCCATCACAAACATGTGAAAAACTAAAACAATGCTATATAGTAGCAATTACTAATAGATTTTTATATCAAAAGAGCAAAAAGTGCATAAGTACAAAACTGAAAAGATTACTTCAACATGCAACCAAAAGGCAAACGTACTACTAAAGGTAATATAAAAAGAAAAACAGAAAATAAAATTAGACACATAGAATACTGCCTCAAAACATAATATAAGGAAGAACATAATTTGACAAAGAAAGTCAGTATAGAATAAATGAAGCAAAAAAGAGTTGCAGACATACAAAGTGTAATATGTTCCTTTTCATTTAAAAAAATCCAGCTGCAAGCAAAATATATTAGCTCCTGTAGTAATCTATATTCTGGTTGCTAACAATCTTAGATGAGCCTGCCATTGACAGACAATAAATCCCATTCAGTTCTGTATTATTCTATTCTGTTCTGTTCAGTTATTTATATTGGCTGTATGTATTAATTTTTATTATTAATTGCAATTATATTCCAAAATGCTGTTGGATGTTTTTAAGTATACTGTGATGGTCTTTTTGGATTGTGTGTCTGAGGTTGAGACTCTTTCCTTCTGTATTTGATCTGTTGACATCTGCTTGTAACTAATCTCCATTAAAGCTTAATTGGATTGATAGCAGATAATGCTATGATTGGAAAAGCTAAGCTATTCAACTTATATCAAATAAGATCTGTGTTTAAATGAATATATGACTCATGTATGCTTACTGTATTTTGTACTCTTCAGATAATACAGACTGCACTCACTTCTATAAGCTTGGAGTCAAGTCCTCAGGGTTTGTTAGATGTAATTTTACTTCACTTTGTATACTACCGGAATGGCTATGTGATGGATCAAATGACTGTGGCGATTATACTGATGAATTAAAATGTCCAGGTAATTTGGAAAAGAAAAACAATAATTTTCATTTTTTTCTTAATGATAAAGAATTTAGCACAGCTTTTATTAGTGGTACAAGTTATTTTACTATACAGTTTATGTGTGTATAAACACGTACATGTATAAATAATTATCGATATAGATAGAGAGCATCTCAAGATATAATTACTGGAAATACATTGTTTCTTTCCTACAGTTCGGAACAAACATACATGCGAAGAAAATTATTTTGCTTGTCCTAGTGGGAGATGTATTTTGAATACCTGGGTTTGTGATAGTCAGAAAGATTGTGAAGATGGAAGTGATGAAATACACTGTGGTAAGCTGCAAAATCTTTACAACATTTGAAGCAAAAGAATCATATATATTTTTCTTTTTGAAAAATACCAAAACAATTATAAGTTTGCAGACCAGATGAGTTTATAATAGGTACAGTTGATAGTATAACAAACATTTGGACTTTGACTCAATGGATTTCTAGTGATACTGGACAAAGAAAGCAGGCCAGCCATTTTCTGTTATTCTGTTTCTGTTTGTCAGTGTCGTTTTTCATGTTTCCAAGCCTCAAAACTTTTCTAGAACTGGATTCCAGATGGCTCTGGGAACTGCAAATGAGTGGTAATTCAGAGAAATATAGCACCTCACTCTCTCCTTGCAGGTGGGTTCCTCTTTTTGATTCATAGCTCCCTCCCTAAACTGAAGGAGCCTGTTTGTATTCAGAAAGTAAATCAAATTCAACCTAATTACCAGAACTACTAATTGAAGAAAGTAGTTAAAGCTGACCCTAGGAATTATCGCCCAATCAGCCTTATTGACATAGCAGCAAAGATCTACGCAAGATACCTACTGGACAAAGTAGAAGAATGGTCTGAAAATAATTTGATAATAAAAGAAGAACAAGCAGGCTTCAGGCAAGGCTACTCCACTATAGACAATGCCTTTGTTCTTCAGCATGTTATCGACAAATATTCTTCAATGAACAGAAGTTTATATGTTGCTTTTATAGACCTGTCCACTGCTTTTGACTCTATAAGCCGAGAGTTACTCTGGAGGAAATTTTTGAAGTCCAGCATAGATAAAAGACTCTTAGCTCTTATGATTGCTCTATATGATGACTCCTCCGTTAAAGTGAGATTAGATAACAGTGGGGCAGTCTCCAGTGGAATACCTACAACTAGGGGAGTGAGACAGGGATGTTTGTTGGCTCCGTTCTGTTTTAATTTTTATATTAATGATATTGTGGAATATTTGAATATGAAAGAATCTCACAGTCCAAAGATTATGGATAGGGAGACAAATATCTTGATATACGCAGATGACATAGTATTGTTATCCACTACCCCAGTCGGGTTAAGGAGGTCCCTGCAAAAACTTAGCCAATATTGTACTGAAAATGCCCTCACTATAAATAAAGAAAAATCCAAAATAATGGTTTTTGGCAAGAAAGCTAAGGCTTCCAAATGGCACCTTGACAGGCACAAAGTGGAGCAAGTGAGGACATTTAAATACTTAGGTCTTCATTTTGCGGCATCAGGGGCATGGACCCAACATCTAAAATTAAGTATTGCAAAACCTGATAATGCTGCACAGGCAATTCATAAATTGTGCAACCACAATTACCCGGGCTCTCTGCGCCCCTTTCTGAAGGTTCTTAAGGCAAAGGTGTTCCCCATCGCCTTGTATGGAGCTGAAATATGGGGTGAGAAAGACCCTTTACTGGTAGAGAGATTCCACCTGAAAATTGGCTTAGGTGTGGAGAGATCATCCCTGTCAGCTGCAGTGAGAGCAGAGACGGGAGTACCCCCAATCTCCACCACAATTCTGAAGAGGCAGATCAATTGGTGGTACAAAATAAGGGAAATGCAACCACACAGACTCCCAGCCCTATGCCTTCTAGAACAAGAAAACCACAAAGAGTGGTCATCCTAGCTTAGCAGATTTGGCCACACAGTTAGTAGGTTAGGTTTTGCCCCCCACGAGTTAACAAATTTTGGGACAAATGTATGCTCAATTGTATACCAAAGAGCTCTCGACATTGCTGCACAAAATGATCTAACGAACATAGTGCAAGCTAGAGCCACTCCATACCTGGCCAAATTTAAATGTAATGTGGGCATGGAACCTTACCTCTCTTTTATACTTCCACTCTATATTAGAAATTTTTTTACCCGGGCTAGATTTGAGCAGCTCGACATTAAGTCCAAGTTGGGACGACATCAGAATATCCCCTACACGAGGAGAACCTGTGGGTGCCGTGAGGTAGATGCAGAAGTGAAGGACTCAGAACATTTTTTCTTAAAATATCCCTACTACAACAGGATCCGGTCTTACTACCTAGAGCCTCTGCTGAAGAACCATATTCATTTAGAGAATAAGGAGAAATTGCACATCCTCCTTCAGGGTTCAGATAAAAACTCTATCTTAAAATTGACCCTTTTTACCCAAAAAGCGCTGGCCATCCGTGAGAAGATGGAAGCAGAGAGAGGCGACCTTGCTGCCATCAACAAAACTCAAACTTAAAAACTTAATATAGACACGCCACTAGTTTTACCTACCCATGCCCCCCACCCTAACCCTATTTTAAGGAATTAATCCATTTTTAATCTTTTAACCTCTTTATCTTGTAGTTGCTCAATTATTTAGGAGTGGGTCGACAGGCCAGTAGGCCATGATGCTTTGTATTCATATATGGTTTTACTGTATGTGTATGATTTGTATGTTTTGCATGTTTTGATATGGTCAAAATTGACTAATCAATAAAGAATTGTTGTTGTACTGGTAAATCAGACTGTTGAATCAGGTTTTGCTCACCATGCTTTGAAAAATAAGAAAATATGAATTTTCTCCTCTAGCCAGGCAGTAGAATATTTCCTACATTCTGCCGTTTATAATTTTTTTGCAGTGACTTAAATGACTAGGACTTTGGAAGACCATAGTTTGAATCCCCACTTGGCCATGAAAACCTGCTGGGTGACCTTGAACAAATAAACCTCCTTTTGTTTCTGAGAAAACTAATGGAAACCCCCCCCCCCCCCCCCGGGTACATCTTGCCAAAAAACCCTGTGATAGCTTAGCCTTAGGGCTGCCATAAGTCAGAAAATGACTTGAAGGTACACAGCAACAAAGCCTCTTTCATTTGCAATTCCTTTCAGATTCTTCTTGTTCATGGAATCAGTTTGCATGTTCTGAGAATAGATGCATCTCAAAACAATGGGCTTGTGATGGAGAGGATGATTGTGGAAATGGCTTGGATGAAAGTGAAGTTATTTGCGGTGAGTACAAGCATTTATTTAAAACATGTACAAATGTACAAGCATTTATTCCAAAGATGTGAGCCTCCCTGAAAGCAGCGTATAAAGAGGTTGGAAGATGTTATAAATGACAGTGAGATACTAATCAGAGAAGCAGTAACAAACTTTAAAACATTTTTTGGATCTCTAAAACCACAAGAGTAAAATTACAATTTAAGAGCAACAGTCTGAGCGACAACAGATTTTTTTTACTGGTGTATCAAAAAGGAGTACTGTTCCATGTCCCTTTTTTGATCTTACAACCCTATCCCATGGTGCGGTCTTCTCTATCTGAGGTGCAGAGTCTGCAGGAGCAGCCACTCCTTTCAGATTGGGGTGGAGTGCTTGTACTTATTATCACTGGATACATTCTCTGGTGAGGGCATGACATTAGTAATGTGCATAATGTATTACCTAAATATTTTATGTAGGCTTTTAAGTGCTGGCTGGAGTTGTAAATTTGCACTCAAAATGATCGTGATTCTGCATAGTATGCATATTAATGTAGACATTCTGACCCATCCTCAAAATATTTCAAACAGCATTCACATATAGGGCTAAGATAACAGGCATAATAACAGACAATTGCATCATTTCTTCTCCAAGTGATAGGAAACTTTAGAGTCAGAAGCTGTAAAGTACCAGAAAAGTAGTAAAAATCCATCATGTCTAACACTGTTCAAGAAGCCAAGTCATACATTTCTACTGTACTCTTGTACTTAATTTGTGATTTACAAAAGAAAGAGAACAAGCCTACCGTGATTTCAATATGAGAATTAGAATAATAGAATCCTAGAGTTGGAAGGACCCCAAGGGCCATCCAGTGCAACTCCATTCTGCCATGTAGGAATACCGAATCAAAGCACACCCAACAGATGACCATCCAGCCTCTGCTTAAAAACCTCAGGAGAAGAAGACTCCATTATGTTTTGAGGCAGCATATTCCACTGAGGAACAGCTGTTACCCTCAGGAAGTTATTCCTGATGTTTAGGTGGAAACCTCTTCCTTATAATTTGAATCCTTTGCTCCATGCCCTAGTCTCCAGAACAGCAGAAAATAAGCTTGTCCCCTCCTCAATATTTAAACTTGGCTGTCATGTCCCTTCTCAGCCTTGTTTTCTCCAAGCTAGACATACTCTCTTGGCCATTCCTTATAGGCCTTAGCTTCCAAACCTTTGATCATTTTAGTTGTCCCCATCTGGACATATTCCAGTTTGTTCATATCCTTCTGGCATTGTGGCACTTAGAACTAGACACCATATTCCAGATGAGGTCTGAGCAAAGCAGAATAGAGTGGGACTATGACTTCCCTCAACCTAACCACTATACTCCTATTGATGCAGCCTACTATAGCATTGAGTTTTTAACTAGCCTTGTTAACTCAGATAGTTTTGCATTTTCAGTGGTTTTTATGCTTAAATGAAAACTTAACAGACAATAATTGCAGGGTGGGGAGATCAAAGGAGAATAATAATATACATAGGACCTTATTTCCTAGACTAAGGGAAAGCTGATGGAAAGTGTATTAAACACATGTGTACATGTGTCCGCATGCGCACGCACACATGTACAAAAGCACACTTAGGAACTCTTTAGGGATAAAAGACCTCAGGTCCATCAACAACATTAAAATCAAGAAAAATTCTTAGAACACTGGTTCTCAACATTCCTAATGCCGCAGCCCCTTAATACAGTGCCTCATGCTGTGGTGACCTCCAACCATAAAATTATTTTTTGTTGCTACTTCATAACTGCAATTTTGCTACTGTTTTGAATGGTAATGTAAATATCCAATATGTAGGATGTATTTTCATTCACTGGACCAAATTTGGCGCAAATATCTGATATGCCCAAATTTGAATAACGGTGGGGTTGGAGGGGATTGATTTTGCAATTTGGGAGTTGTAGTTGCTGAGATTTATTATTAACCTACAATCAAATAGCATTCTCAACTCCACCAAAGATGGAATTGAACCCATCTTGCCACAAAGAACTCCCATGACCAACAGAAAATATTGGAAAGGTTTGGTGGGCATTGACCTTGAGTTTTGGTGTTGTAGTTCACCTACATCCAGAGAGTACTGTGGACTCAAACCATGATGGTTCTGGACCAAACTTGGCATAAATATTCAATATGTTGAAATGTGAACACTGCTGGAGTTTGGAGAAAATAGACCTTTACATTTGAGAGTTGTAGTTGCTGGGATTTAAAGTTCACCTACAATCAAAGCACATTCTGAACCGCATCAATGATAGAATTGGGCCAAACTTCCCACACAGAACCCCCATGCCTTGAAGGGAGTCGCTGGCATGGGCCTCCCTCCAGCTTTGCATGCTCTCCCATGCCCACACATATTTTTCAATATTATTTCAATCTCTAATAAAGGTTTGTGGAAGTTATTGATGCCACATTATGAAACATTTCTCCAGCAGATCAACATTTTAAAAATGTCTTCCTTGTGACAGTTTTAGTGTTAATATCTGTCAAATTTCTGTGTCCTAGTTTTGTTCTGTTATATGCTACTACTTCTAATACTTGTTTATCCTTTTTAAAGAATTATTGTTACAAGGTGGCATCTAAATACCATTCAATCAATAATAAATGCATTCCTCTCTCCATCTAATCTGAACTCGTTGTGTATGACATAAATTATTTGGCTGACAACCTCTTCACTGAATGAGGTCATTCACTGAATGAGAACTATTTTTCATATTTTAAAAGTATTTTAAAATGTAATACTTCATACCATAAAGTTGATGAACAATAAAATGTTATAGGGAGTTGAATATTGCTCCTTAGCATATAAATAATAATTTGATTAGCACTATTCAGAGTCCTCCAACATATTGTATCTCAGTTGTCCTATTGGGACTTTAGAGTTCAGTAACTGGAATTTGACTTCTTTTTAGCAATGGTATCTAGAGCTCTTAAGAACATAGCTTTCAAAAGTAATGAATCTGTAAGATATTTTTAAAATTTTTAACAATTAACCTTTCTGCAGACTCAGTAACATGTGCCCCAAACATGTTCAACTGCTTAGATTCCTATGCCTGTGTTCCTCAGCACTGGCTTTGTGATGGAGAAAGAGACTGTCCCAATGGAAGTGATGAGCTTGCTACAGCAGGATGCGGTATGCAGCATGTATTTTCTTCCTATTCCCTTTTGTGTTTATTTTGTCTTTTAAAACATTAAGTGATATATTTTATCCCTCATATTTACCTTATATCACATTAAGTGATATATTTTCCACTTGGAAAGGCCAGATTCAAATAAAGTCAGCCAAAAGTCTAAATAAATAGTCTAGGACCTACAAAGCTCATGCATATTAGTTTCTAAGCAGACCCCCCCCCCAAAAAAAAAAAAAGGAAAAGAAAAAGAAAACCTCGCAAAAAAGAATGGCAGCACCTATGGCACAAAGACCAGCCATTAAAAGGAGCAGATGTGCTTGTGATGATCCATATTATTTGGAATTTGCCATTTAATACTGGAAGTGAGGAGAATGCCCTACTGGTGAGCGACGACTGTAACAAATGATGAAATCTGTTTCATGTGCCTCGTGAAGGTTACTACAGAGGGTGTTCAAATACATCTATTTCCAGAAGATAATTTCCCCACATCAAAGGGAGAATTTCAGTGTTGTTGTTTTTTTAAAAAAATTGATGACGTTTCTTTTGACGGGTCATGATAGCACCTACAGCTCTTTGTAATGAAGTCTACTTAGAACCATTTGTAAAAAGGCAGACTTTCCAATTCAGTAATGAACATGCAACTAGATAGATCCTATGTGATAGACATAAAGTATGACAGGTAATTCACCAAATAATACAGCAGCCATTGTATTCTGCCAGCTTTAGTACATACTCCTGAACAAATTATATCTGTGTAACACCAACTTTAAAAAAAATAAATGTGTAGTATCTCCACAGACACTTCGTGTTCTTTCTGGTCAGATTCTAGTTATCATGGAAAAGAAATGGAATGGTATATTTCCAGTAAAGTAGAAGAATACATGGTACATAATTTAAAACAAACAACAAAACATTGCATGTTATATATTATTTTCTTCAGAGGAAAAGTTTTGTCCTTAAATTGCCAGCTGGTTTTCTACCCAAGTTATGCAAACAAATAGAAATGTATAGAAGTCAGAATACATTTTTCTATTAAAAAAAGAAATACCAGCACAAACAGACATGCCATTCTTTTGCAGAATCAATTCTGGTTGAATCTTGTTCCAGTACAAAAATGTGTTAGATTTTTTTTTAATATTTTCAAATATTTTCCCCATTTTTTCATAGCGCCTAATAATACTTGTGATGAAAACACTTTCACATGCCGCAATAAAGTCTGCATTCCAAAGCAATTTGTATGTGACCATGATGATGATTGCGGAGATGGATCAGATGAATCCCTGGAATGTGGCAAGTACAATTAAAATCTAATCTGATTAAATTAGAATTGTAAAGCTGGATTGAAAAGAAAACTATATTTATACTGATATAAATAAATCCTTTATCATATATTATTTTATAGCTAAATTATATTATTTTTGTATTTTATATTTAGAGAATATATGTTCTTCTGTATTCTGGGAAATTTAAATAAGAAGTTCCTAGGTTTTCCTATATTGAGCAAAAATTATACATATGCTGATTGACAACAAAATTAATGGGTATCTTGGTGATATTTAATTTTCCCTAACTATGCAAATGTTTATCTATATGTATGCCTAACAGGCTGGAAAATGGTTCTTGAAAATACAGTAGAAACAATGATTGATGCAAAAATATTATTTTATTTTCAAGGCTGTTGATTTTCTTTTGTGTGCATAAACATTTTGTAAAATGTATGAAATTTATATCTTTTTTTCTCACTAAATTCAGTATGCTTCTTCTTCAAATTCTACAAATTTCATTGTTCTGGAATATACTGTGTACTTCAGAATCCTATACTATTTATTTTTTTTTAAAAAAAAACTTAGCTGTTATTTCTTATGCAGTTGTATGTTTGGGAATGATCTCATTTTTTTATTTGAAATGAAGCACACCAGGCTTCAGGAGCTATTAAACCTATGCTCAAATAGCAAGATTATATATATATAATTACTAAGATGTAAGTTGACCTCATGTATAAGTTGAGGGCACATTTGGAGGTCATAATTGTGGATTTGATAAAACACACTAAGAAGTTGGGGGTCATTCCACAGAGAGGGGAAAGCACCTGCATTGCCTCAGAGGTCCAACCACCTTGGACACCACCGCCATTTCCCTAACCAGGTTTTCAAAATATCCAGATGTGCCACCATGGCAGAAATAATAGAATTGGTGGTGAGGGGGTGTCAATGTTTATTTTGGATTCTCCAAGGATGAACTAAAGTCTGATTTTGCTATTGTAATCAGAGGGTTCTCTCTCTCTCTCTCTCTATATATATATATATATTAGGCCTGGGTGGTTTCGTTCGTTAATTTTGTAATTCGTTATTAATTCGTATTTAAATTAGCTTACGATCCAATATTGAGCCATGCAGGAATAGTGTGAGGAGTAAATTAGATTCGAAACAATTTTTTCAATTTATTTCGTAATTATTTCGTAATTATTTCGTAATTGTTTCGTAATTATTTCCGTATATCTGGTGCAAGTTTTATAGTTGTTGTTTGTTTTATCAGTGATAAAAAATAAATTATCACACCAACAGTCAACAACAGAGGGAGAGGGAAGCTTCAGAAGTTCCCCCTGTCCCATTTGGAGGGTTTTTTAGCATATTGCGCAATCGTGCGTCCGCCATTAACGAATCGATTCGTAATTTTACGAAATTTCGTATATTTTGAACTTTTTTAAAGGAAAATTTCGGAATTCTTTAAAAAAACGAAACGCAAGGGCCCCCCTAAAAACGAAACGAGTTTAGAACCAAATTTTTCTGTAGTTACCCAAGCCTAATATATATATATGGACTTAAAGTATAGTAATTGCATTGACTTATACAGTATTTTGTGCAGTGGTCAATATACTTTAGGTAACAAGAGGATCGTGTTCATAACACACACAAAAAAGAAAACACCTTTTTATTGTACAATATTTCTTCTAGCTCTAGCACCTCATATTTTCTGATATTATACCTTTTACCAGATGCTGCTCCCTAGCCATCTGCACTTTGCACTTTTGTTTGCACTTTGTGGGGGTGGGGGAGGGCTAGAAGGGATTACAGAATGCAGGAGGGGGGGTGATAAATGGGGAGAAATGCCAATCATAAATGAAGATCGAGTGAATCAATTAACTACCTCAATGCTACAAAGAGGAAGGGGAACAATTGTTGGATTGGAGGGAGGGGGGAGTGCCACTAGCCGGGGGGGCCCATTGAAGTAATAAGGGGGAGGAGGAGGAGATGCGGGAAAGGGAGACCTTTAATTCGGCCTAGGGAACGAGAGAATGTATTAGTAAAACTGAAGCGGTTTCCTGATAAGGTAAGTTTGGGTACCAAGGATGGCGTTTCCTCCGGGTTAAAGGTGGTGCTGTTGAACGCCAGGTCTGTAAATGGTAAAACAACTTTCATCCAGGACTTAATCTTGGAGGAACAGGCAGACCTGGCGTGCATTACGGAGACCTGGTTGGATGAGACTGGAGGAGTGAATCTAACCCAGCTGTGCCCACCAGGTTTTTCCGTACAGCACCAGCCGAGACCTGGAGGACGGGGAGGCGGGGTTGCAGTGGTCTATAGGGATTCCATCTCCCTGACCAGGTGCCCCATCCCGCAGTCAACCATTTGTGAATGTGTCTACCTGAGGGTAGGTGACCGGGACAGAATAGGGATTCTGTTAGCGTACCGTCCACCTCGCTGCGCTACAGACTCCTTATCTGAGATAGCTGGGTTGGTCTCGAGCCTGGCGTTGGAGTCTCAACGGCTTATTGTGCTGGGGGACTTCAACGTCCACGCCGAGGCCACCCTATCAGGAGTGGCTCAGGACTTCATGTCTTCCATGGCAACCATGGGGCTGTCCCAACAGGTATCTGGCCCCACCCACAGTGCTGGACATACATTGGACTTGGTTTTCTGCCAGGGATGGGAGGACAGTGGCGGTATTGAGGAGTTATCTATTACTCCGTTGCCATGCACCGACCATCACCTGATCAGGTTTAGACTCATTGCACCCCATAACCTCTGCAGGGGTGGAGGACCCATTAAGAAGGTCCGCCCTAGGAGACTTATGGATCCGGATGGATTCCTGACGGCTCTTGGGGATTTTCCCGCCACCTCGGTTGGTGATCCTGTTGATGCCCTGGTGTCCCTCTGGAATGGGGAGATGACTAGGGCAATAGACACGATTGCTCCGGAACGTCCCCTCTCAAGTAGCCGAGCTAAACCAGCTCCTTGGTTCAACGAGGAGCTGGCAGCGATGAAGCGAAGGAAGAGGAGACTAGAGCGTGTGGCGTTCGGACCCGAGCGAGTCAAATCGAACACGGTTTGTTGCCCTTCTAAGGGCATATGCCACGGTGATAAAGGCTGCAAAGAAATCTTTCTTTGCGGCCAATATTGCATCCGCAAAGAACCGTCCGGCTGAGTTGTTTCGAGTTGTCAGAGGTCTATTAAATCCCACCATTCCGGAAGGGAACCCTGACAACTCAACGGCCCGCTGTGAAGCATTTGCTCGGTTCTTTGCGGACAAAGTCGCTTTGATCCGTTCTGGCCTGGATACCATGTTAACGGCGGTCTCTGAGGATGTAACACGAGCACCTGCTTGTCCGATTTTGATGGATTCATTTCAATTGGTGAAACCCGAGGATGTGGACAAGATACTTGGAGGAATGAGGGCAACCACATGCATCCTAGACCCCTGCCCATCCTGGCTTCTAAAGGAGGCCAGAGGGGGATTGGCCGAGTGGGTGAAGGTGGTGGTTAATGCCTCCCTTCGGGAAGGCAAAATTCCAGCGAGCTTAAAACAAGCTGTAATAAAACCGCTGTTGAAAAAACCATCACTGGACCCCACTCAATTCGTCAACTATCGGCCTGTTTCCAATCTCCCCTTTTTGGGCAAAGTCCTGGAACGTGTGGTGGCCTCACAACTCCAGGTATTCTTGGTAGACACGGATTATCTGGATCTGGCACAGTCTGGCTTTAGGCCGGGACATGGTACCAAGACAGCCTTGGTCACCTTAGTGGATGATCTGTGCCGGGAGCTAGACAGGGGGAGTGTGTCCCTGTTGGTTCTGCTGGACCTCTCAGCGGCCTTCGATACCGTCGACCACGGTATCCTTCTGGGACGCCTCGCGGGAATGGGCCTTGGTGGCACTGTTCTGCAGTGGCTCAGGTCCTTCCTAGAGGATCGTACCCAGAAGGTGTTATTGGGAGACAACTGCTTGACCTCACAACCATTGTCTTGTGGGGTCCCGCAGGGTTCTATACTGTCCCCCATGTTGTTTAACATCTACATGAAGCCGCTGGGGGAGATCATCTGGAGTTTCGGGGTGCGGTGTTATCTGTACACAGATGATGTCCAACTCTGTCACTCCTTCCCACCTACTACTAAGGAGGCTGTTCAGGTCCTGAACCGGTGCTTGGCCGCTGTATCGGACTGGATGAGGGCGAACAAATTGAAACTGAATCCAGACAAGACAGAGGCACTCCTGGTCAGTCGAAAGGCCGAACAGGGCATAGGGTTACAGCCTGTGCTGGATGGGGTTACACTCCCCCTGAAGACGCAGGTTCGCAGCTTGGGTGTGATCCTGGACTCATTGCTGAGCCTGGAACCCCAGGTTTCAGCGGTGACCAGGGGAGCATTTGCACAACTAAAACTTGTGCGCCAGGTGCGCCCGTACCTTGGGAAGTCTGACTTGGCCACGGTAGTCCACGCTCTGGTTACATCCCGCATAGATTACTGCAACGCGCTCTACGTGGGGTTGCCTTTGAAGACGGCTTGGAAGCTTCAAATGGTCCAGCGTGCAGCAGCCAGGTTGCTAACAGGAGCGGCGCTCAGGGAGCACACAACTCCTCTACTGCGCCAGCTCCACTGGCTGCCAGTTTGCTACCGGGGCCAATTCAAAGTGCTGGCTTTAGCCTATAAAGCCCTAAACGGTTCTGGCCCAGCCTACCTATCCGAACGCACCCCTTCCTACGAACCCTCCAGGAAGATCATCTGAGGAGGCCCTGCTCTCGATCCCGTCTGCTTTGCTAGCACGCTTGGCGGGGACGAGAGACAGGGCCTTCTCTGTGGTGGCCCCTCGGCTGTGGAACTCCCTGCCTAGGGATATTAGATCAGCCCCCTCCCTCCTGACCTTTCGTAAGAGAGTGAAAACCTGGCTCTTCGCGCAGGCATTCGGAACCCCAGAATAGATAAGTCAAGCTTGAGATGGAGAATGACCCAGGAACGGCCAAGACGATGAAATGGACGAGGATTGGAATGAGAGGATATAGCTCTTTTTAAATTGTTATTGTACTTTTTTGTCTAAATGCACTTAATTGTTTTTGCTTTTGTATTGTATTGATGGCATCGAATTGTGCCGATATGTAGACCGCCCTGAGTCGCCTGCGGGCTGATATGGGCGGGATATAAGTGATGTAAATAAATAAATAAATAAACAAAATGGTCTTTATGAAATTTGGTGGTATAGTTATTTTCAAAGCAGGAAGACACTTTGTCCATTGAATTCAAATCCTCACCTCATTTACTATGAAGGCATGCAGAACTTTTGCAAAGGAAAAGGGGTAGAAGTGTTTAAGTGGCAAAAATGTGCCAAAGTTCAGAGATGCTCAGTATGAATGTTCATTCTTCTTTTAGGTTATCGTCACTGTAATCCTGGAGAATTCAGCTGTGCTGATGGAAGATGTCTCTTAAATTCTCAGTGGCAATGTGATGGAGATTTTGATTGTCCAGATCATTCTGATGAAGAGCCACTTAACATAAAATGCAGAAGTGCAGGTTCAGCTTTTTAAATATATGGGAATTTTGTATTTGCTTCATAACTCATTATACAACAGTTATATTTCAAGAATAATATATTATTCACAGAAGCATACAGAAAAAGAAATAGCCAGGGATACAGGACAGAGACCCTCCAACTGTTGGACTCCAACTTGCAAGAGATCTTCCCAAAAGTCCAATAATAAGGGATAATGGGAGTAGTAGAACCACATGTTTTCCGCACCAGATATTATCTCTCTTATCCAAAATGTTCTTCATGTATATGTATTACTTACATGCTTCCTTTTTGGAAGATTAACTATGCCTTTCAATCCATCAGTTTCAAACTTACTGGTCCTGATCTAAAGATCTTTGGGTACAACAGCTGCCGGATGATGCTGTATGTAAGAGAGACTGAAGTGAAACATTTGGCATTCTTGGACAGGGAAGAGTCAGAAAAGAATATAACCAATAGCTGTAACCAGTTAAATTCTACTTGTTAGACTGCAGCTGAAATTATACACGTTGATTAATACTATTGATTCCTACTGAGGTTTTTGCTGCAGTATAGATTTCAGTTGGATTGTTTTAGAATACTCTACATATACAATGATAAAATCCATTTTGAAATAATGACTTGAAGAGTAAGCCCTGATTGTAATTGAACTTACCTTTGATGACCTAGCCTGACAAATATAATTAGCATACTGACATAACCTGAGCCTTTTGAATGAGCGAATAATATATCAAATTAAAGAAATAGCACCAGCCATGGATTTATGGCTTCAGAATATACTGGCATGGTATTGGCTATACCAGTGAGGTCTATGTATGAATCATTGTTATTGATTTAGCAGTGTGAAACTGACACAGGTAGAAAAAACACTACACAGGTAGAAAAGACACTACACAGTTGAAAAAAATGTGTCACAACACAGCTGTGCAAGGCATGAAATGTAAATATAGATAACCTGCCTGTCATTCAGACTTGATGTTGGAGGGCAACCAAGAGTGTCATCATGGAACCCATATGGGTGCCAACCACATAGTTCTTGCTTGTGAGGCAGAAGTTAGTAAAATAGCATCTGAACTGGTCTGCTGTGATTGAATTTTAATACGTGATAATCCTTAACATATTCCTTGCATTCTATTTGTGTTTTCTCCACCCTTGTTTCTTATTTTTAGAACAGTCATGCAACAGTTCCTTTTTTATGTGCAAAAATGGCAAGTGTATCCCACAAGGAGATGTTTGTGATACTAAACAGGATTGTGGTGATGGATCTGATGAGAGAAATTGCCGCATTAATGAATGTTTGAGCAAAAAAGTCAGTGGCTGTTCTCAAGATTGTCAGGATCTTCCAGTTGGGTACAAGGTTGGTAGTCCTGGTGTGTATTATACAATATATAGATAAATAAAACATAGAACAAAATCATATACAGCTTTTAAAAATAAACATAGCTATTGTCATGATAATTTGGGTGAGCAGGAACATTACATAATACTAATACCATAGCCCCATTGACTTGTTCAGGCGCTATAAATTAATGTAGACATGTTGTAGTTCAAATGGTAAATCTCATTTCTAATAGTTGGCAACAGGCTGCAGAGGGCAATAAAGCATAAAGAGTAATTATTTTGAATTACTAGAAAAAGAAAACTGCATGTGATTTAACATTAATCTGTGTTTACAGAGATGTCTGCCTATACATCTTAGATATATGCTTAATATTGCCTGCCCGGAGTGTCCAGGACTGTGAAACAGCACTACTTGTCCCACTGAGTGGGGTTTGACCCACTCCTTTCTTTGCCTACCCTGCATCACTTTGCTGCTCTGTTTATCCATTAGTCCCCCATCTCCTGGTTGCTCTAGCTAACTCTCACAGTACTGTGGGTTCCCCTTTTCCTTGCTGCTCTGTTCTCTGTCCTATTAACCGCTATCCATCCATCTTCTGCCCTCTGCATTTCTCACTGTGTGGCAGTGGCTGCTAATGTTCCTTGAAGTCACATCAGCCTGCTACCCTCAGCATTATTATTTTTTCTTTCCATGATTCCCAGATCTCCATCTCATGCGTTCTTCATCCTTCAACTGGGTAACATTCTTAACAAGAACTGTAAATCAGAGAGTGGTGAAATGCAGATGGCTCGAGAGTGAGGACAGCAGTAGTAATTCTCCTACCGCAAGCAGTAGGAGAGTTTCTAGATATCACTACCCAGAAAAAGTCTGTGCCCCCCAAAAACCTTTTTTGCAGTCTTTTGAGTTTTCAGGTCTATTTCTCTTTTTGATACAGCAGACTAATACAACTACCTCACTGAAAATCTGTTGCAGAAAAATCAACAGAATCTATGACAATTTAAATGCTAATAATTTAATTATGGAATTGTATTCCTTTACCTCAGTTTTTTTATTCTGTAGTATTTTGCCTTCATTTATTTATTACAATAACTTGGCTCCATTCATTTCTAGTAACTGTTTTTAGCCAGCTCTATAATAACAGAACTCAACCATCTCTATTCCAGCAGGCTTTCTCACAAAACTGCAACATTTGCTCAAGGAATTCGAAGAAAATCACTCTATAATTTACATTTCTATGAAGATGCTTTAAGTTCACTTATTGGTTGAGTCATGGAAAACATTAGCAAGCTTAAATTCCTTAAGATCAATACAGATCAACACTCTGTTTTGCAGTTTGTGAGGCTTATGTAGCATGAGAGCTGCACTTTTCCTGTCCCTTGGCTAAACATTTGTAATGAAATGTCAGGTTGATAAGGATCCAGGCAGACATAAGATTAATATCCTTAGAATCCAGGGGAATGTGACAACTGGATAATATGGCAACCCTAATATTTAGGTATTTTATTTTGCATTGTGGTTCAATGTTTGTATGTAACAAAAATGGGAACTACACAAACTCAGTATTGTTGAAAATGTGCAACAATATGAACAAGGTCTAGAAATTAAACATTTAATAATGGCTGATGAAAGAAAATTTCAAAATGCATTCTTTTTTGAGCTTTTTCAATCATGTGCTAGAATAACTTGCAATTATGGCACCTTTAGCACAATTAATGAATTACAACTATTTCTCCTTTTGGAAAACTTCACTTGGAACATATTGCAAATTAATAGAAGCAATCATTTCCCGGGCTTGCTAGCTTGTTTCTTTTCACATAGTGGGACTACATTTTAGACTTGTATTAGTTCTGCAAGGGAAATGTTGTTCTATGTTAGTTTTCATGCAGTAAATCATCTAACCAAAGAAAAGTTGGAGAAGAAAAATATCAGACAAAAGAAGGATTAAGTTGTTGACCTAAATCTAATTGTTTAGCTCCAGAAATACTAGAAGTACTGAATTAATGGAACTTGTATAAGTGCTTGTCTCCACTAATCATTTACAATAGAAGAGTTGAATTTAAGTCCCTTCCCTATCAATCATTTTTCTATGGGAATTTTGGCTTCCTGGGTGCCATCTACACAGGAAACTCAGAATTTAAAACAGATTAGCCTGAAGTGTCCAAATGATGCTTAAAGCTAATCCTGTTAGCTTGAAAGCTCCTGGCACATCTTTTTGATGCCCCAGGAGCTTTGTTGAAGAGAGGAGGGATGGTCCCCTCCCAAACTCCTGGTGTCATTTTGATGTGCCAGGAGTTCTCTATATAATTCATGCCTCTTTTTGGAGACTTTTCAGGTAAATTTTAGGGCAAAACAAGGGGTTGCAGGATAGGGGAGGGTGGTGTGGGGGACATGGCATACATCCCACACCAATCACGGATCGACTTAGGAAGATATTGGCTACCAACCTGCCGAAAGGGTGGGGGTTTCGCCAGCCCTCTGGACACCAAATTCAAGTGAAATCAGCATTTAAATTGCTGGTTGCATTCGCATTTGGGCCTGTGTAGAAGCGCCCTTGGCTTACTTTGAAAAAGAGAAGCACATGAAGAAACATAGTAGTAGCAGAAGCTTTGCTTCCACTCCTATCTCCATAAGCATATCTTCAAACAAACATCTGCTATGAGCTATTGTAGAGATTTTATGGATTTTCTCATTTCTAATATTGTGAAATGTTGCCAATGTAGGTGATAAAGCTCCTGAAAGAATTTCCCTTTGATATGAGTTTTGGATGCTGAGATCAATGAGGTTATGAACCACATTTTTAACTAACTGATGTCATGCCTGCTTAGGAAATTTACTTTACAATACTATATAGTATAATTTTATACAATTCTATTCAAAAGTGGCTCCCACTAAGTTCAGTATGACTTACTCCCAGATTAGTGAGTATAGGAAAACAATCTCAGTGTGTTTGATGCAAAGGTTGTTTTATTTTCCTTGTAGTGTAAATGTTGGCCTGGCTTCCATTTGAAGGATGATGGCAGAACATGTGTAGACATTGATGAATGTGCATCTGGCTTTCCATGCAGCCAACAGTGCATCAATACATATGGAACCTACAAATGCCTATGTGCAGACGGTTATGAAATGCAACTTACTAACCAACATAGCTGCAAATCTCTCTCAGGTATCATTATCTACAGAAATATTAAAGACTGAAACCACTTCTTTATATTCTACTGTCATTGAAATCTAGGGAATGCCATTTGGCTTCACTGTGAAGTTGTCTTCCTTAATTTTGTAGGATTAAGGTGTAAATGTGGTTTTTTTAAAATTATGTTTGAAATACACTATATTAGCCTTTGTAGTGCCAAGGAAGCTGTCTTAAAACTGAATTTGTTTCAGAAAAAAATCCCATGACATAATATTATGAAAATATATATTTTTCTTTTGTGACCTTTATGAGTCATGCATAGTTTGAAATGTATGCTGTTGCCACTGCCATTTTCCCACCTAGGCATTCAAGAAAATTCAGAAACGGCACCACGGTAGAAATAGTAGAAGGGTGCCAGTGCTTCATTTAGATTTTCCCAGAACAGATTAAGTTCTTACCTTTCACTATTCTGTTCACAGATCATTCTTTTTCTGATGAGAATTAAGCTATAGTAATTACATTGATCCATGGAAAAGTTAACCCAGGTTTTTTTTAAAATACAATTTCTAGACATACATGAGTATATACAGTAAAACAGATTCCCAGGTCTCTAGGTCTTCTAGATGCCTCCAGATGAGGAAAGATGAGAGTGCTTCTCTGAAGTTTAGAAAACACAGTCTTCTGGCCATTGTTGGTTCAAGCTATCAGAAATACACCAAAGCCCTCCTGAGCACTTCTTTCCCTCATTTTCCCCTTCAACAGTGATCAGTGCAGCAAAATACTGAGCTGCCTGAATTTTAATGAAAATTAAATTATTGTTAGAGATTATTTATACATCAATACGTACATAATTTCATACTCATCTGTGCCATTTGTGTCCTATTTTAGTGTTAATTTTCCCAGTCCTCATCCAACCTCCTTCACCTTAATCTAAATAATAGAAACCATAGAATGAATTCCTTTCCCTCATGAAGTGTTCATCCCCACTAATGCTTTCATTTTACTTTTTTATTCCATAATTTTTCATGTTATTTCTCTCTTTCTCCTTTCTCTGCCAGTTCTTAGGTAAGTATCCCCTCTCTCCCTGCTTACCCATGTCTTCCTGTTGTATTCACATTTTTCTTCTTCCCTTGTCCTCCTGCCTTTCACTTCTTCTCTTTCCTCCTTCTCCCCCTTCAGTGTTGTTTTTTCTGTTGGATCCATTATTTTTCACTGAAATTTATGTTTATTTCAACATTCCTGTGGTCACTTTCACAGCAGGGAAACCAAGAAGAAGGTCCCAGTTCTGCTGATGTTATATACTAAAGTTTATCATTGAATTACGGCCTTATTTTTTATGTTTTTATTTGGTTTGCTAATGTTAATAAGTTCCTTGTAGTCAACACATCAGAGGAGCGTACATCAATACAACATAAATATGGATAATATACAAATGAAGAATGCATCAATTAACTCAAGTTCCTGCTATATTCCACAGACACACAAATGTTACAAAATTATATTACTATATACAACTTTTTTTCAGAACGAGTTATCTCACTAACTAAAAATTATGGCATACAGTAATTTCAAATGCCTGACAATTTGAATTTCCCTCTGTTTCAATGTCAACTGATACTTATCATCTATTTGTTCCTTAAAAGCTAGGCTGAGTAGTTACGTTGAAAATTCATTTTGGAAGTGAAATTATTTAGAGTGCTAATATATTGTTTGCATTACAAAGGATAAATCAAAGTACTCTGAAAGAGAAACTAATTGAATCTCTTGCTCAGTTTATGACACATCATTGCTCTTATTTGAAATATTGTGCTTTTAATGTTTCTTTGATCCTTAACACTGTTCACACCATGTAGCATTTTATTTTTCGTCACTTGCGTTTCTGTTCTTGAAGTTCCATAAAATTACTGAAACTATGCCATAATGTTTTTCCCCTTTTCCTATATTAAGATGAAGACCCATTTTTAATTCTGGCTGACCACCATGAAATAAGAAAAATAACAATCGATGGATCAAACTATACTTCAATTAAACAGGTATAATTATCACTATTTATAATTATATTGTTATAGAGTTTGAATCCACATTGTTTTGCTCAGGTACACTAAATTCAGGTACAGTATATCAGTTGCTAAACACCTGCTTTTAATTTTATTTTCTTGTATGTTAAAATGTGTAAACTACCTTAAATCCTAGATTGGTACCACCATCATCTTTTCCACTGCCTTTCTGCCAGATTTATAGAAATAATTGTATGGCTTATGCTGTCAAATTGTACAGTGCACGAATGTCTTCCCAGCAATCAAAATACACTGGGTAATCCTGGGCAAGTAATACTCCTTTAGCCTCAGACAAAGACAAAAACAAAAACAAACTCTTCAATCAAAAAAACAAAGTCTTCAATCTGCTGAAACAAAGGAACCTGGACATAACTGCACTACAAGAAACACATATCTCAAGCAGACACACGAAATATCTCACGAACAAGAAACTAGGCAATGAATTCTATTCATCACATAACGGGAAGAAGAAAGGAGTAGTGATTTATGCCAAAAACTGGCTAAATCCATCTCTAGCTTTTAAAGACATGGAGGGGAGATATGTGGGAATACTAGTTGAAATAAATAATCAAAAATGGCTTATTTGCAACATTTATTCACCAAATGGAGCAAAGAGTAAATTCATAAAAAATCTAAAAAGAGAAATAGATAAACAAAGTTGGGAAGAATTAATAATTCTGGGAGATTTCAATGGAGTGGTGGATATCAATTTGGATAAAACGGATAGTAAAACAGAAGGGAAAAGGAATCAAAACAAAAACAGCCAACTACCTAAAATCTTTAAAACACAATTAGAAAAATTAAACTTGCAAGATACATGGAGGCAACACAATGAAATAGCAAGAGACTACACATACTTTTCGGGCAGACACGCTACGTGGTCAAGAATTGACATGGTATGGGCCACAAATTCGTTAAACTTAAGAACAAAAAAAATAGAGATACTGCCCAGAACCGTATCAGACCACTGTGCTATAGAACTCTTAATTAAAGGAAGGGAAACAATATATAGATGGAGATTAAAAGACTATTTATTGAAAAAAGAGATAGACATTGGAAAGAATAGGGCACTCCTGAAAGAATATCTGGAACTAAATAAAGGGGAAGAGACATCTAAAAACACACAGTGGGAGGCCATGAAAGCCGTCATGAGAGGATATTTCATGCAACAAGATGCGGCAAACAAAAAAAATAGAAATAGGGAAATCAATGAGATTTTAGGGAAATTAACAGATAATGAAAACTTACTGAAACAAAATCCCAATAATAAGAAAAGAACCCTCATAAATAACGCACTCAGAAAACAACTGCAGCTACTCCAAAATGAAAACTTGGAGAAACAATTGAAATTTGCAAAACTAAATTACTTTCAAAACGCAAATAAAGTAGGTAAATGGCTATCAAACAAAATTAGAAAGCAAAAACAAAAGCAATTGATTACCAGAATCCGAAGTAAAGATAAAACATATACTGAAAACCATAGCATCTTTAAAGAATTCATCACATTTTATAGAGATTTATATAAGGGCCCAGAAACGAACAAAGAAAAAATAACAAAATACCTATGTGAACTTAACATGGCAAGATTAACAGACGAACAGAGAGGCCTCCTGAATGGGACAGTAACAATATGTGAAATTGATATGGCCATCAGAAAACTAAAAAACAATAAAGCTCCCGGACCAGATGGCTACACAGCCATCTTTTACAAAACTTTTAGAGAGGAATTAAGTCCTCTCTTCCAAAAGATTGTAAACAAAATAATGGAAGAAGGGAACCTGCCAAAAACCTGGGAGAAAGCAAATATTGTACTAATACATAAGGAAAATACAGATGCAACCGAAGTTAAAAATTATCGGCCGATATCACTACTAAACAATGACTATAAAATTTTTACATTGATTATAGCAGAAAGGCTAAAAAAATTTCTAAAAGAATGGATATCCAAAGAACAATCTGGCTTTCTCCCAAACAGGCAAATTAAGGACAATACTAGGACCTTAATCAATATAATTGAATACTATGAAAAACATAATGATAAGAAATTGGCACTACTTTTTGTCGACGCCGAAAAAGCATTCGACAAAATCAATTGGGGGTATTTAAAATTGTTAATAAAAGAGCTAGACACAGGTTTTCAATTTAGGAATGCAATTGAGGCAATTTATAAAAACCAAGAGGCCACTTTAATAATAAACGGACAAGAAAGCAAACAATTAATACAAATCTCCCGTGGTACCCGACAAGGATGCCCACTCTCCCCGTTGCTTTTTATTCTGGTCATGGAAACCTTAATACGAAATATAAATGAAGATAAAAATCTAAAAGGACCAAAAATTTTAAAACAGCAATATAAACTCAAAACCTATGCTGACGACGTGGTCTGCTTCATTGAAGACCCGTTGAGAAATATTATAGATTGGCTAACAAAAATCCAGGAATTTGGAACATTAGCAGGCTTTCACATAAACAGGAAAAAAACAAAATTACTAACTAAGAATTTGAGCAAGGAGGAGAAAGGCATCCTACAAAACATATCAGAGATACAAATCACAAATAAAGTAAAATATTTGGGAATTAATATTTCCAATAGCAATGCAACGTTAATAAAAGACAATTATATACCAGTATGGGAAAAGATAAGGAAAGACATGTTGAAATGGGGAAATAAAAACATCTCTTTTCTAGGAAAAATTGCTCTAGTAAAAATGACAATCTTACCACAGTTACTATTCCTTTTCCAAACTGTTCCAGTTATTAGGAATAATTTTCTTTTTAAAAGATGGAGCACAGATATTACCAAATTCTTATGGGCAAATAAAAAACCGAGGATTAGTAAAAAAATTATGACAGATGACGTTAAACGAGGGGGCTTGGGCTTACCAGATTTGAGAAGTTATTACGAAGCCTGTAACCTTGTAGCTATTAAAGATTGGGCAACACTTGAAAACAAACAAGTTCTAACTTTGGAAGGCCACGACTTAAGGGCAGGATGGCATAGTTACTTATGGCATGATCGAAGAAAAGTGGAAAAGAACTCAAACCACTTCATACGGGCAGCCCTAATCAAAACGTGGGAAAAATATAAAGCGAGATTTTTCAGGCACACCCCACTATGGATATCCCCAGTGGAAGCAAATCACAAAAAAGAATTAGGGGCAGAAACCTGGCTAACATATAATCAGCTATTGGAGGAAAATAGAGAAGGGAAGATGCTACTGAAACCATATGAGGAAATACGTAAATTAAACCCAAAAATGACATGGCTAAACTACTATCAAATCCGGGAAAGCTTCAAAAAAGATGGAAAAATAGGGTTTGAGAAAAAAAAGGGAATATGGGACATTGTCATGGGTAAAAATAAAAAAATGATTAAGTTACTATATAAACAACTACAAATATGGAATACGGAAGAGGAACAAGTAAAAGAATGTCAAATCAAATGGGCCCAAGATTTAGGACACAATATCATGACAAACCAATGGGAAGAAATTTGGACAACAAAAATAAAATATACTATAGCCAGTGACATAAAAGAAAATTGGTTTAAAATGTTTTACCGCTGGCATTACACGCCAGAAAAAATAGCAAAATTTCAAAAAAAACCTCAGCACATTTCAGATAAATGCTGGAGATGTAGAAAGAAACTAGGCACTTACTTCCACCAGTGGTGGGAGTGCAAAGAAATTAAAAAATTTTGGAAAAAAACTCATCAAGCCACACAAAAAATTTTGAAAGTTAACTTCCCATTAGCCCCAGAGACCTATTTACTAGGAATAACAAATGAAACCAAACTAAATAAAAACCAAGATAAAATTTTATTCCTATTGAGTACAGCAGCTAGAATAGTGTTATCCAGGAAGTGGAAGCAAAGAGAAGTACCAACTCAAGAGGAATGGATTATAAAAGCCTTTGACATTATTCAAATGGATAATTTATCCCAAAGAATAAATGGAGTGATCAATAAAACGGACTGGACTGGCTTCAAGGACTTTCTAATAACAAAGAAGATTTCAGTAATAATAGATTTGACGAACTTCTAAAAGATGGATATAGAAGAAACATTGTCAGCTTTTATAAACGAATGGAGTGGACTAGTCTACAACAGTAGGTGAAGACTTTTTGGAAGACCCTGGGAAGTCACAACGACAACAAATTGGTGTATTGGTGATGGCCCCTCTTTTTCCCCCCCTGCCCCCTCTCCCTTCCACACCTCCACCTCATCTCCCACAGACCCTAACCAGAACCCCTACCCTCCCCTCAACCCTCACCTTTCAATTCTTACCCTATTCCCTACATGGTGGTGTAAATTGAAAAGCAATAAAAATTTAATTAGATAAAAAAAAAACAAAAAAAAAAACAAAAACAAACTCCCCTTTAAAGAAATCTTGCCAAGAAAACCCCATAGTAAGTTTGTCATTGGAAGTCAAAAATGGCTTGAAGGCACACAATACCAAAAACAACAACTATCAATAAATTTTAAACAGAAAAAAGGAAAAATGTGTTATACCATATTACGGACATGTGGTTCACCTAGTATTGACACTACATTATAACCATGCCGACTTTTCCAGGGCATACCAGACCCCCTCTCTTGATAAATGTTTCCCTTTTATAGATATTATGTTATAATTGGACCGCCAGAATTGATAATACCTGGATCTTTTGGCATATACTGCCACAATGGGCATTTATACTTCTGACCTAAACTAGGCAATTCAAGTATATGTCAAATCAAATCAAAACATTTATTTCGGTCATTGACCAGTACAGGAAATAGTGTCACATTTCCATACAAACCTGGCATGTTTGGTACATTAAAAATATAAATATAACTACTAAAAACACAATATGGGTGAGGGAACAGAAGGGTAAACAGGGTAAAAACATACAATGCCCAGATCCATCACCAAATTGTAGATTCAGGGAAGAAGATTACTGGACACACAGTTGACTTTTGGAAATAGTCATTCCCT